TGAGCCAGCACAGCTGGCTCAGGAATTCTGGGAGTTGAAGTCCACGAGTCATAAAAGAGCCAAGGTTGACCACCCCTGCTCTAAGATCATAATCTCCGCAGCCCATTTCCTCCCTAAATCGCAGGATAGAACCCTTGAGATCTATTAGAATTGATCTTCCATAATTCCCAACAAACACTACCACTTCTATGAATGAAAAATCAGGCACCGGATTGGACAAGATTTTGACGAGCATCGACCACTTTAATCTCCGACAGAAAAGAGAAAATGACGTCAAGAGAACTCTTAAAAGGCGAAGTTTAGCGATAGCGCCTACCTACGCTTCCCGTCATGCTCCGTGCCGGCCGCTCCTTCCTCCAGCCTCGGATTCCGCGCATGCGTTATGATTTAGGTAGTGCTGACGAGACTGACGGGGGGGGGCTGCGAAGTCCGCCCTGGCGTCCCCAGGTAAGGGTCCGCTGGGAGCGGGGAGAGCGCGGGGGATGTTCTCTAGCGAGCAGCAGCGCCGTTCGGCAGCGGCCCCGAGCGAGGCTCGGAGGTAGTGAGAGCCCCGGGAAATGGAGTCCATGGAGAGAGACCTACGGAGCAGGTTGGTGGGCAGCATAACCGAGGGCCAGGTCTCCGTTCTTGTGACAGATCGGGGAGGAAAAGTGGAAGAGTAAACCGAAGAATTGGCCAACCAGATCGTTGAAAAAACTATGAGTAACCTACGGGAGACAGGTTTTGCAAAGCAAATATGGGTTGGGAAGTCCGTCGGGCTGATCCAAGATTTCATGAATGACCTGATACATCCATGCCTCTCTCCATCGGCGTTATGATCTGCTGGAAACTGGAAGGAAGCAGCGGATTGCAAGGGTCGGGACACTGCTATAGGGAGAGATGCTGTTCCCTAACAGGAAGCATCTGCTCTTGCTTACAGACCATCATAGGAAAAACTTGCTGTTATTTTCACCTACCTTATAGATAATTGGGTATGTCTAGCTTAATGAAGAGAAGGACGAGGGGGGACATGATAGCAGTGTTCCAATATCTCAGGGGTTGCCATAAAGAAGAGGGAGTCAAGCTATTNTATTATTATTATTATTATTATTATTATTATTATTATTATTATTATTATTATTATTATTATTATTATTATTATTGTAGAATAGAGAGCTGGAAGGGACCTTGCAGGTCTTCTAGTCCAACCCCCCCCCCCCCGCTCAAGCATTTCAGATACATGGTTGTCCAATCTCTTCTTTAAAACCTGTGAAGGAGCACCCACAACTTTTGAAGGCAAGCTGTTCCACTGGTTAATTTTTCTATCAGGAAGTTTCTTATTTCTAGGTTGGTTCTGTCCTTTATTAGTTCCCATCTTTTGCTTCTTGATTTGCCTTCAGGTGCTTTGGAGAATAGTTTGATCCCCTTTTCTTTGTGGCGGCCCCTTAGATATTGGAACTGCTATCATATCACCCTTAGTTTTTCTTTTCATTAAATTAGACATACCCAATTCCTCCAACCATTGTTTATATGTTTTAGTCTCTGGTCCACTAACCATCTTTGTTGGTCTATTCTGTATTCTTTTTATAGTCTCAACATCTTTTTTATACTGTGACGGCCAAAACTGGATGCAGTATTCCAAGTGGGATCTTACCAAGGCGTTATAAAGTGGTTTAACACTTCACATGATCTTCATTCTACCCCTCTGTTAATGCAGGCTAAGGCTGTGTTGGCTTTTTATATTTATTTTAAACAGAATTAGAAACAGCTAAGTGTTTTACTTTTAAGGTTTGTGCTTCTGGTAATGCCTTATTCAATCCAGTAAAATATTAGTTGTAAACAGGTTTTTGAGTTCTTTATTACCGGTACTCATTCTGGTTCTGGATGTTAAGCTAAGCCATAGGGAGACAAAGAGAGGTAACCATTTTCTCTTTATAACCAATGAAATGTTGGTCATGCTATCCAATGGTAATTACTTATATTTTCTCCCAGCAGCCATAATTTGATCAAATTAACTGTTAGCAACATTAACTTCTTAGCACTTCTGAATGTTTTCTGATCTCAATACTGCTATTTTGTACATATTGTACATAGAAATGGGTTAATCAGGTGTACACCTTTCTGTTGCCAGTTTTCTACTGTTTTGCTCTTTGCAAAATGCAAGTTTGTATTACATTAGGGATTAGGTGATGATATTGTCTAAGAAAAGTTCCTATGGAAAAAAATTATTGAGTTTTTGAGGACAGGGATAAGGGAGTAGTAGTTGCAAAATCCCCCCTCCCCCATAATGTAGAACCAACATTATTGTGCAGACAATTATAATTCATGTTATGATGTTACTCTCAAATGCAATATTTTCTGCAGGGTTGTTTCCCTCTCCTTATTGCTTGAGGTTTGAGATTCAAAATTTGCCAGAACTATATCTATTTAGTAGGAATCCCAATTTTATTTCTTTTTAAAAAAATCAAAGCTATTATTTCACCCAGGATGCATTCTCGTAAAATAATCTGTTTATTGCAGAGAAAAACTGAGAAAAGGCAAAGTAGCACCAGATTACAATATGTTAGCATATTGGTTTCTGTTTAATCAAATTAGAATCTATGTTTACAAAAAAAAATACTTTTTATTCCATTTAGTGACTCATATATCTCACTGCAGTTTTCTGACTCACTTGTTTAAAACATTCAGTGCTGGTTGCATACAGGTAGTCCTTGACTTACAACCATTTGTTTAATGACTGCTCAAAGTTACAATGACCCTGTAAAAAGTGACTTATGACTGTTTTTCACACTTACGACTGTTGCACATCACCAATGGTCATGTGACCAAAATTCAGATGCTTGGCAACTGATTCATGTTTATGACAGTTGCAGTGTCCTGGATGTCACGTGATCACTTTCTGCAACCTTCTGACAACTTAACAACTGCAATGATTCACTTTAACAGCTCTGGCAAGAAAGATCAGAAAACAGGTCACAACTCATTTAACAACTGTCTCATTTAGCAACACAAAGGTTGGGTTCAATTGTGGTAAGTTAAGGACTACCTGTACTGTTTGTTTTTAGTTTTGGTAATTTGCTGTTTCCCTCCCACCCTCCTTTGCTTTCTTTCTCTCTCACATTTTCAACTTTCGCTTCCTAAAAGGCCATCTGTTTTTCATTTTGAAGTTATTGGTGACTTTTCACTTTTATTTTTAAAGTTATATTTTGGTGTGTAACTGATATGGAAAAATATAGATTAGGGAAAGCATCCAGAGAAAATCTTTTTGAATAACATGAAGATATTTGTGTGACGTAACTATCAAACATTCAAAACACTCTGAATTCAGCCATATTTCTTCGTTTTTCGGTTGCCACAGAAATTTATTGAGATTTTACCGGGAGCAAAATTACCCCAACCAAAAATGTATTCAATGAAAGAGCTGAGATCGTACATCGATAAGAACTTAGCTAGGGATTTATCCAACCAGCAAAATCCTGAATAGCAGCCCCAGTACTTTTAAAGAGAAAAAAGATGGGTCGATGAGGTTCTGCGTGGATTATAAAGGGTTAAATTGTGTGAGTGTGGAAAACATGTACCCTCTCCCCTTGATGAAGGACATGTTGGCCCATTTGGCGAAAGGAAAAGTTTTTACCAAATTGGACCTAAGAGAGGTGTATTACCGAGTAAGAATCAAGGAAGGAGATGAGTGGAAAACCGCTTTTAACAGCCCCTTAGGAAGCTTCCAATTCAATGTCATGCCTTTTGGTCTGCAGGGGGCTCCTGTGGTATTCATGCAATTGATAAATCAAGTACTGCATAATCACCTATATAAGGGGGTTTTAGTTTACCTTAATGACATCCTCATCTATACCAAGACCATGGTGGAGCATGTTAAATTAGTACTCGAAGTGCTAAAAAAGCTATTAAATGCCAAACTTTATGCAAAACTTTCAAAATGCGAGTTCCATGAAACACACCTGGATTACTTAGGATATAGGATTTCCAGTGAAGGTGTTGAAATGGACCCAGCTAAAGTGAAAGCAGTTCTGGAGTGGCAACCCCCACGAACCCGAGCAGCTCCAGAGTTTTTTGGTGTTCACTAACTTCATCCCCTCCTTTGCTGAAATTGCCTTGCCACTGACCGAGCTGTTAAAGACGGGGAAAATGGGTGGGAAGCCGCGACTCTGCCAACCACTCCCATGGTCCATTGAATGCCAAACTGATCCTGAGAAACAATTTACCATTCAAGCTGATGCCAGCGATGTAGCTGTGGGGGCTATTCTTTTGCAAAGGAATGACAGTGGAAATTTACAGCCCTACACTTACACCTCCAAAAAGTTAATGGACACTGAACGAAGGTGGGCAGTCTGGGAGAAAGAGGCTTTCACTGTGAGATGGGCTCTGCTTACTTGGTACCATTTTCTTGAAGGGAGCGACTTGCCTTTTGAAGTATGGACTGATCACAAAAATCTAGAGGCACTAAAAACCCCTTGCAAATTATTTAACTACCTAATATTATGTTGCAGAAATAAACATGTTTTAAAGAAATAAATTACTATGTTAATCTGCCTCTCCTTATAATTTTTTAAAACTTATGTTCAATTATGTCTGATTCTTGGAGACTGCCTGGACAAGTCCCTGCAATTTTCATGATAAGATTTTTCAGAAGTGATGTGACATTGCCTCCTTTCCAGGGCTGAGAGAAAGTGACTAGCAGTAGTCACCCAACTGGCCTTGTGCTTGAGGTGGGACTAAAACTCACAGTTTCCAGATTTCTGGCTTGATGCCTTATTTACTACACCCAATTAGCTCCAATTATTTTTTAAAATGCATTAATTTGACTATAACTACAACTTCTTGGGCTATATTGGCAAGATTCACATAAGAATCAGGATATAAATTCAACACTTGCCAGATAAAAATAGTATTTAGTAGCATATGGACAAAGTATGTGTTGGAATTAGAAATGTAATATAATTTTAGTAGAGCCTCTAAAAAGTAAATGGGAGTTATGATTGCTTGGCTCTAGGAATTAATTTGCTATTTCAATATTATGTCTGTATTTTGCAACAGAGTAATGACTTTCTGCAGAGTCTAAGAACCCTCATTGACTATATTCCTCCATAAAAATGTCAGGTAAGCCTTTTATGAACATTGAGTATTTGTGATTTAAATCAAACCATTGAGACTATTATCAAACGTTTTACATTTTAGCACTGCCTTTTAATATACTCCTTCCTAATAATATTTGCTTCATCAGAGAGTAATTTTTCTACTTTTGCTATTATCTAAAATTGCTTATAAGATGGGATACATATGATTATAATGAACCACATATCTATATTTCACTTGTCTTCATTTTACTCTGAAATATAACATTCAGAAAACGTATTATAAATTATCTTTTCAATGACTTGATAAGAATTATGTTGGCATGAACTTTACTGGAGTAATTTTCTATATCTCTTTCCTCAACCACTTTCTGGAATAATAACTTCATGGCATTCCAGTTTTAACGAATTTCACATGTTATTTCAGCTGTTTTATCTAATTCAGTTGAGATCCCTATAATATTTTCTGTTTCTATTCTCAAACCATGTCCATAGGCTCTGAATAGGAAATAATAACTTGCAAATTGAATTCTTAATAATGGAGAACACAATGTTCATGTCAGCTTTTTAGGTTTTAGTTTTAGATTTATTTTTATAATTTGTAATCCATGTCAATTTGACAGGAGTTGTGGTGCTTGAGTTAATGTATTTCACTGCTATTTTTACCTTCTTTGGGTTAAATAGCTTCAGGCCTGGTAGTACTTGGATGGGAGACTTCCAAGGAATACCAAGGTTACAGGTTGGACTAGAAATTTGTAAAACATCCTGGGAGAGAGTAGAAACAAGCCATCATACTATTCATACTATTTCTAAGAAAACTGTGTGGATGCATGAAGTTACCAGATGTAAAGATTAACTTGACCAGTCTTTATCATTATTAACCTTGGCAATACATTAGTATGTTAACTACAGTTTGATTATAATACATATAGAATATTTGTTATTTTTAAGAGCAGCAGGGAGAGAATTTCTCAAGTGCTTTTTTCATGTTTCTTCACCTGATCTATCTTTCCAATATTTTTTTCTTTTGTGAAATGAATTTCAGATATGGATATGGAAACACTTTTTCATGTCTTCTTCCAGAAATTTATTTGATGTCTCAGTTTAGCTTGCAGTGCTGGTTTATTCATGTTTTCCATCCAAGTAGTAACTAGGTCCAAATCTATTTAATTTCCAAGCCCAGACAAGGTCATGAAATCACAAGGAATCCAGTTTAACTCAAAGAATACTTTTTTTATTTAATAAAGTTCATGTAGAGATTAATTGTACAGTTGGTTGAAGTCCTCAAGCTTCTTTTATTTTTCCAATGTAAATATTTAATACAGACATCCAGTTATTTCTATTGCTAAAGTATTGGTAGAAGACGGTTTTGACATACGCAATATGCAGAAACATCACTGGATAGAAAATTGCCCCCCACAATGTCAAATCTTGACTTGCATCTCGAGAAAATCAGCTGATTTGACCAGCCCCATGCAAAATGGGCAACGCTGAACCGAATTCACATTGGCCATGGCAAATGTCCTGACGCTCCCTACCATATAAGTGGGGCAAAATACCAATTGTGACTGTGGAGCCCAAAAGCAAATTATCCAACATATGGCGACAGAGTACCAAAATAGAGCCTATAATGGAGACTGCTGATTTCCTGGCTGCAACAAATGAAACAAACATATCTGTAATCTAGATATATGTTTATAATACTCTAGATTTTATATTTTACATTTCATATTTTTATCTCTTGTGCTTTTAATTGAAATGTGATGTAAATGTGTCATGCAATAAATAATGTGATACTACATATATAAACTGAATTATAAAGTCCATATGTAAAATACTGGCAAATAGAAAGTAAAGCACTCATGAAGCTTTCTTTTGGCATTGTAATTATGTTGGATATGATTTCCATATCTTTGCTTTCTACCGATTCCTAATACAAAAAAGACAACAAAATCAGAACAATTAATATTAGTTGCATCATCAGATATGATTTAGAATTATCATGACACAGCAGGTGGTAACACCTACATTACCTTTTCTGGGCTTGGAGATTTAGCTGAATTAGGTCTGGTTAGTAGTTGGATAGAAAAGCAAGAAGAATTCCATAGTTGTAGGTTAGACAAACCATTGGTTAAATATTTTTTTAAAAAACCCAGAGGAAGGCAGTATTTCCATACTGCTGTGAAGAAATGAGTAGATCCATTTGCTCATCTGGAACTGAATTGAAGTATCTTTATCTTAATATTGGCTATCCTCTTGTAATGTTTTTGGTCATTTCTGTAATGCTCCTGTGTATGCTTACTCTTTTTGCCTATAGGAAGCCATACTCCCTCCACTGGTGGGCCCTTCTCTGCTCTCACTCCCAGCATATGGCCTCAAGAGATTTTGGCAAAATATGCTCAGGTACATAGATAGCAAAGTGAAAATCTGTTTTGTCCTTATTTTTCTTTTGCAAGAATCATTCATGTCAAGGAATGATTATGAAGGTGTACAAGAATGGTATAAGAATGCTTAGTAGACTTGCAAATCAACTCATACTAACCTTTTGGCAGTAAATGAAGAACTCTTTTGTTCCAGCAGCACCACTCTGCCTTTCTACAGTATGCTGAATGCCAAAGCTCAGCCTGAATCTCCTCTTTGTCATCTGGTTTTTCACCCTTGGCAACAAGGAGACACCAGCCTGTTCACTACTCTGTGTAGAAGGTTCAATGCAGCTGCCTGCATACAAATTCCTTGTTTGTAGCTATCAGGAAAGTGCTTAAATACAAGGCTTGTTTAAAGCATCAGCACATTTAAGTACTGGCATAGTCATATTATTATGAACTCATACTTGTACAAAAAGATTTCTGTACAGCCAATAGGTAAGTTATAATGGAGGAATAAATGGCATACATCTTACTTGAAACTAAGAAAAGAAAAAAAAAGTAAAAAGTCAGTAACTGGTTAATTGCCTCTTAAAATCATGTCTTACATCGGAATGCAGAGAAAATATAAAAGACAGACTTCCCTTATGTTTAAAATGTACATAGATTCTTTTAAAAAATACTTTGTGGGATGGTTGACAATGATAACTTATTCAGATTGGCATATATAAATAGCTATGCATATTGATGGCTAAAGGTTGTCATGGGTCCATTTGTATTAAGTCAGGTAGTTAATCTATTTTAAATTAAATATGATTTGATATATTTTTTTCTTCTTAATGAAATTGGGACATTGTAACATAATACAATAGTAATAGTTCATACTACAGCCTCACTGCTTTAATGAATTAAATAATATATAAGTTAAAGAACTGATGATTGCTAGGTTAGAAGAATGGCTGTGACAAACAACCATAAAAATGTGTGCACACCACAGATGGTGAAACACTAGCAACATTTTTGGTATGAAATACGTTGGGCAAGGAACAGATGCTGATTTGGAGCAGTGAAAGAACAATGGTGATAGAAATTTCCTTTAAATTCTTGATTTATCTATCTTAGAGAAATAGATAGAATGTGGAGGAATAGCCTTTGTGCTGTTAAGGTGTGTTGGCTGGTGATTAAGAAAGAGGAAACCAGGTTAGAGGAGACATTTGAGAGCAGTCACTGCTCATTTTGGATATCAGCAATGTATAAAAGTATTGCATTTGACCCTTGCATTAACTGACAAATAGCATTTCTTTTCTTTTCTTTTCCAGAAAGAAGAGTCTGTTGAACAGCTAGAGATCCAATATGATGAATTTGGTTTCCGAGTTGGCAAAGAAGGCAAGTTCTTCATTTCTGAAAGGCTTGACTTGTGATCAGATCCCTCTCAGTTTCTCATTTAGAAGTTTTTATTCCCACTAACACTATTTCATTTCTTTATTTTTTATTTCATTTATTTCATTTAATATTTTGAAAGAATATCAATGAAAAAGATATCTCAGACAATAGATATAAAATAGATAAGCCCTATGTCATTTCTTGTTTAGGACTATACCTTAAAATTACTTTGAGTGTGAAGAAGAAAAGTGCTATCTTTAACTATGAGAATTATGAATTTGGGATCTTTTAGTTATGAGAGCATCCATTTATGTGCATGAATTTTGTTTGAAATGCACATAAGTGACAGCCAAAAAAGAATTAGAGATGCAACTTCTTCGAGCATATATCAGGTTTCATCCTACAAATGTGTTTTTGGGTTGGTTTTTTTTTGGAAAATCAGATTAATCTGATTCAGTATCTACATTTTCAAGAAAGCATTTTTATTTTCCTTTCATTTGAATTCATACATCCTTGATTCATCCAATTGTGAATTAGGAATTATCTCCAAATCAAAGTTCAGAAACTTGTTCTCCAATTATCTTTTGGAATACCTAAATATTTAGAGACTTGATTATTTTTCCAATGTTATTTTTTCCCCACTGGTTTGGATATACTACAGATAGTGCAGAGCCACCCAGCAAACTTTTGGGGATCTCGCTGATTGAAGAGCCACAGCAGAGACTGAAATGGCAAGCCCATCTGGAGTTCACACACAATCATGATGTGGGAGACCTCACATGGGATAAGATTGAAGTCACACTTCAACATTCAGACAAACTACGTTCTCTGGTTTTGGCTGGCATTCCTCACAGTATGAGGCCTCAGGTAAGACTACTCAGGAAAGAAAATTTGCCTGTAAGAACTTCTGACTACATTCAACACCTTTTCAACAATTTTTCCTCAGTTATGGATGAGACTGTCAGGTGCTTTACTCAAAAAGAGAAATTCAGAAATGTCTTACCGAGAAATTGTGAAAAACAGCTCCAATGATGAAACAATTGCTGCTAAACAGGTGAGTACTTCTCAGTGTTAATTCTTTGGGAAATGAAATCAGTAACAATTCTGTTCTTGCACAGAGCAAGGGCTTAAACCATGTGGAACCCTGAGCTTCCTTTGTGTAGTTCTCTGAGCTTTTCTGACCATGATTGCTGCAAATTGCAAACATAGTTTAAATAGGCATACAATTAAAAATACAATTAAAAACAAATCAAAGAAACTTTTCCAAACTACTCCCCCCAATACCCTGGCCACATTTGTGCTTTATCCAGTTCACAGTCCTCAGCACTACAAAATGTTACCGATTTCAAGCTTAAAGAGGTAAGCTCAATCATCTTTCCAGGACTGAGTGGAAAGCATTTGCCAGCAGATTTACCTTTATAGTTTAAAGATCAAAGAGGAATGATGTGCATATATCATATTATATAAAAAGTGTAATTAACAGAATGTGGGAATATGCAGATTTAAATATAGAATTCTGTAAGTACCTGCCTTTATCAACACAGATCTACTTGCTGTGTATAGTGAGGCTGATTACTCTGAGGGAAAGATTTTACATAAAAGATTCTTATGCAACAGCTGAGATTACGATGTGTTAATAAATAGTGATGAAGCACTTTGTTGTTGAATTAAACAGTGAGCACTGTTGTAAAATAATTTTTCATACTGGCAGAAGTGAGAATATGTATTTTGCAAAAGTGTATTGAGGATAGAAACAAATAGAAGTACTACCTACTTTTGCACCTTCAACATCTGCAGATGAAGCATTGCAGAATGATTTGTATAGTATCTCTCCTTTTGTTTAACATTTACATAAAAGAAAATCATCGAGTGAGGTCAGCTGCCAGTTTGGGGTCTGGTATCAATATGCTGATGATACCCAGTTGTATTTTTCAATCCCAGGCTGGCCAGGTAAGGCTGCTGAAGTTCCCAGTGCCTGGAGGCTCTGCAGACCTGGATGGGGAGAGACTGACTCTGACTCAGTCCTTCCAAGTCCGAGTGGCTTTAGCTATTGGGACCCACCCAGATCTGGGGATTTTCTATGTTTAATCCTGAATTGGATGCACTCCCCTAGTCAGAGTGGTGCACCACTTGGATATTCCTTTGGACTCGCTGCTCCTGCTCAGAGTGGGTGTAGTCTGTGTCCCCATTATTAAACAGTGTCATCTTTCAGACTAAGGAGATACCTCTTCTTGGTAGCAGTGCTTACTCTCTGGAAGGAGGTCCCTTCTGGGCTCCATATGGTTAGGGTATCCTGACTATTTATCCAAGCTTTAGAATAGGGTGGATGGGATGCCTGTGTTTGTGATATTTATATTTGCTTTTTTGTGGATCGCCACCTTGTGATTATTTTGTAGTTATTTTTGAAATTTTTTTATCCCACCTTTATTACTTTTATAAGTAACCTAAGTTGGTGAACATACTTAATACTGTTCCCTCCTCCTCCTATTTTTTCCACAGCATGAGGTGAGTTGGACTAAGAGAGAGTGACTGGCCCAAAATCACCCAGCCAGTTTCCCTGCTTAAAGTGGACTAGAATTCACTGTCTAATGGTTTCTAGCCTGGTACCTTAACCGCTAGACCAAACTGACTCTTTGTTTTTTGTTATGGTTAATAATATGTATCTTCTTGTTTTTTGTTATTTTATTATAAACCAACCAGAATTGGTTGCAGTTGATTGGCATAATGAAAAGGAAGGAAGGAAGGAAGGAAGGAGAGAGAGAGAAAGAAAGAAAGAAAGAAAGAAAGAGAAAGAAAGAAAGAAAGAAAAAGAAAGAAAGAAAGAAAGAAAGAAAAAGAAAGAAAGAAAGAAAGAATATTTATAAGTTAACTCTTACTTTGCGAGCTGTGCAAAATGGGAATGTTCCATTTTGGAGGTGGCTAGAAGATTAGGAGAAGATCCCACCCTCCACCCTATCTATACATTGATCTTTTTATCTCTTTTAATATTAATTTAATGTTTTAACTTTTAATGTGTAATGTTTTAATCCTATTCTAATATTTATGGTATTGTGAGCCACCTATAGTCACTTGTTAGAGAGATGAGTGGTATACAAATAAATAAAAGTCACAGCATACTGTCAGCTAAAGAATATGAAATTAGAGTTAGAACTGTGAAGACCTGAAAAAGTAGTTGGCAAAATTAGAAAAAAGTACATCTAACTATATACTTCTTAATTTTCTACACCAACCATATTTTTGAATAAACCAAGATAAATATAATGTATTTTGTAAAATAATATAATGAAATAATAAAAAAGGGGGTGAAAAAAGTCTTTACATTTTTCTGCTAAAAGAAAGCCAAACATTTTTTTGTGTCTGGGAAAATTTCTGGGAATGTTTTATCTCTCAGGGAAAAGCTCAACAGTCACCGATTTTAAGTGCTTATCTTTGATTCTTGATATTTCTCAGATTGAAAAGGATTTACTCCGCACTATGCCCAGCAATGCCTGTTTCTCCAACATGGATAGCATTGGAGTACCACGGTTACGCAGAATTTTACGTGGCTTGGCTTGGTTATATCCTGAAATTGGGTACTGTCAAGGCACTGGCATGGTAAAATATTTTTTCTGATTATGAAATGTATTTTTGTTATGGCCATTTCCTTTAAGAATCTGTTCACAGAAAGGTGAGGAACAAATTCACTCTCAGTCCAGCTCTTGAACTAATTGTAGAAAATCACAGGCAATCAAACTTTTTATCAATTTTTCTTATATATATTTAATTATATTTTGAACTTGCTATTTAGGTAATATGTAGGCTTCCATTTAGCGACACCTGTCAACATAATCACATGGAAATTGTGGCCCAGAGTTGTGGATATATCCCAGGGAATCCCAACCTAGTGCCACAACTAAGCTGTCCAAGCTCCAAGACATAGGAGGCAAAATTATTAGAATTCTAATTTTCAAATGCTTCCTTTCTTTTCTGCCATTGTACAGATAAGACTGTCTTGTATTTAAATAGTATTTTTTAAGCAGAACGAATTCCTTTTTGTGATCACAAGTGCTTTAATTCTGACTTTTAGATCTTCTTTTTCTTCATGCTAGGTGGTAGCTTCCTTACTTCTCTTCTTAGAAGAGGAAGATGCCTTCTGGATGATGTGTGCTGTCATTGAAGATCTGGTGCCAGCCTCCTACTTCAGTACCACCCTGATGGGGGTCCAGACTGATCAACGTGTCCTGCGTCATCTCATTGTGCAATACCTACCACAGCTGGACAAACTTCTTCAGGAACATGACATTGGTAAGGACCTTTTATCTGCTAATTATTTTGATTTGCTGAGATGGGGCAGTTGTAATAAATTGCAATTTAATGGAGGAATAATCACTTGCTAATAGGAGAGCATCCAAATGCAATCTTTAGCATGACACATTGCCAATTCTTAAAATCATTCTCAGGCAGAAGATTTTGGAGACCCATTATCAGTTAAAGCACAAATACTTGATTTGTTTTAAAGCAATTCCTAAATACAGTTTCTCGTGTATATATTATGTTAGGGTTCTTTGGCTATTTTACATTCTTCCTATAAGCAGGTAATTTCATTTTTAAAGAAGCCTTCAGTTCAATTTTAAGACTTTAACATTCAGTTCTGTGAGTAACAGCATACTGAACAATGATAATAATGCTAATAATGTAGGTCAGAAATTATTTCCACACAATTTACTTCTGTAAATATGTGTCTATGAATTCAGGAACATTCTGGTTTTGAACATTTCATCTATGGAAAAAATAATGTGTTTAGTTGCTGGCAATGACATATGTTAAGATGAATTAAGAACAATGTATTTTCTTCATTGTTTAAAGCAGGGGTAGTTAACCTTGGCTCTTTTATGACTCGTGGACTTCAACTCCCAGAATTCCTGAGCCAGCTAAGCTGGCTCATGAATTCTGGGAATTGAAGTCCACGAGTCATAAAAGAGCCAAGGTTGACTACCCCCGGTTTAAAGCAATAATGTTAATGCTCTTGTTTATGTTGGAAATGAAAAGAACAAGCATGAAATTGACAGATCAACTGATGTTATATATTTATTTCTATTCACAGAGCTCTCCCTCATTACCCTACATTGGTTTCTTACATCATTTGCTAGTGTGGTGCATATCAAGCTATTGCTGCGTATCTGGGACTATTTTTTCTACCAAGGCTCCATTGTTCTCTTTCAGGTTACACTGGGTATGCTCAGTTTGAAGGTAACCAACATTTTATAAAATTTCTCAACTCCCTCTTTTTCTTCCTCTCATGGAATGGAATGGGCATGCTACATGGGGTGGATAGAATTCAAGACTTCCTAGCACTTTGAGGATCTTGGGAAGAAGGAGATCATTTCAGGAAAGAATGAAAAGTTATTATATTTTGCTCACTTAAAACTCAGGCAATCTTTGGATTCTCTACATCTCCATAGCCTTAACATTTTTCTCTTTGGCCTTCTGTAATAGTGCCACTAGCCTAGTTTATAGACAAGACATTAAATACTGTTTACATTTAAAAATATGTGTATTTCTGGATAGAGCTAGAAAAATCAGTAAATGCACATTTCTAACACCAGAAGTAAGTATGTTGTTATCTTGGTTTATCTTGAATGCATTGATGGTGCAGATAAGTAGATGCATGGCTATTCAATATTAATGGATTAGTGAAACCCATCATTTTATGTGTTATTTTGTAACCTTGATTTATTCTGATAAAGATTTTTTTTTGAAGTTTTCTTCTCTTGACCAACATATACCTTTTCTTTTTTGTGCATTCATGAGAATCTGTTACCTGCAATGGGGCTTATTCCAAGTTAGGTGCAGGCAGACTGCAGACAGAAAGAGCCTGTATTTTGCCCTGTATAAACTATTCATTTGTGTGATAGTCCTTGACTTGCAATCATTTGTTTAGTGACCATTCGAAATTACATTGGCATTGAAAAAAGTGACTTGCAACTGGGTTTTACACTTAGGACTGTTGTGGCCATCCCCGTGGTCACGTGATCAGAATTCAGGTGCTTGGCAACTGGCATGTATTTATAACAGTTGCAGTGTTGTGGGATCATGTGATCACCATTTGTATCTTTCCCAGCTGGCTTCCGACAAGCAAGGTCAGGGGGGAAGCTACATTCACTTAATGACCATGTGATTCACATAACAACTGCAGTGATTTGCTTAATAACTGTGGCAAAAAGTGGGACAAAATTCACTTAACAACTGCCTTGCTTAGCAATGGAAATGTTGAGCTCAATTGTGGTCATAAGTCAAGGACTACCTGTAACTTGTCCAGAGTGGCTGTTGTATATCACTTGTGACTGAAAATCTGGGTGTTGGTGAGAAATTACTTTGCATGCAACTTTCATCTAAAGTCAGGAAATATAAGAATTCTTACAATCCACTTAAAACAATAGTTTATTTGTTCATCAAGTTAAGCTTAGCCAGAGTTTACTAAAAGTAGTTCCCAAATTCCTGAGAGGAACAGTACCTTGCTCAATAGTAGTAACTGTGAGAGAGACCTCGGAGTCCTAGTGGACAATCACTCAAATATGAGCCAGCAGTGTGCTGCAGCTGCCAAAAAGGCCAACACAGTGCTGGGCTGCATTAACAGAGGGATAGAATCAAGATCACGTGAAGTATTAATACCACTTTACAATGCCTTGGTAAGGCCACACTTGGAATACTGCATCCAGGTTTGGTCACCACGATGTAAAAAAGATGTTGAGACTCTAGAAAGAGTACAGAGAAGAGCAACAAAGATGATTAGGGGACTGGAGGCTAAAGCATATAAGGAACGGCAGGACAAGAAGCAACGGATGGAAACTAATCAAGGAGACAAGCAACCTACAACTAAGGAGAAACTTCCTGACAGTTAGAACAATTAACCAATGGAACAACCTGCCTCCAGAAGCGGTGAATGCTCCAACACTGGAAGTTTTTAAGAAGAGACTGGACAGCCATTTGTCCGAAATGGTATAGGGTTTCCTGCCTGAGCAGGGGGTTGGATTAGATGACCTCCAAGGTCCCTTCCAACTTTACTACTACTACTACTACTACTACTACTACTATTATTATTACTATTATTATTATTATTATTATTATTATTATTATTATTATTATTATTATTATTATTAAGACAAGATAACTACTTCCAAGATATAAATATTTGCCTCTGAGAGTAATATATCTTTATCAAGTATCTGCTCTAGGCATCATTGAGTAGCCAATATGAAATGAGCAAGCAAAGCAGTGACTGGTTTTATCTTGCTTTGAACCTCCTAACCATTCCCCCATTGGATTAGGATTAAGTACAACAAATGGGAGCAAAAATATTCTATAGGATGATTCAACTGTATCATACAGAATAACTTGTCCATATTAACACAGGAAGATGAACTCACCCAGTCTGAGAACTCTGCATCTATCTTCAACACCCTCTCGGATATCCCATCTCAGATTGAAGATCCAGATGTGCTCCTACAGGAAGCTGTACGTGTTGCTGGCTCACTGACAGATGTAGTAGTAGAAACTCAGCGTTGCAAGCACCTTGCTTACCTCATTGCAGACCAAGGGCAGCTACTCAGCCCTGGTGCTACAGTAAACTTATCAAAGGTATGTTTTTAAAGCCTTATATGCTTCATAGGTTCAAAATATATTTGGCCTTGGTTTCCATTGTCTTTGATAGTAATGATGGTGTGTCACAGTCTTATATATTCTGTGAATAAATGCTCCCAGGCTCCCCAAATCTGTTACCACTATTTCAACTCTATATCACTTTTGTCACCTGCATTTCCTCCCCGCATCCATTTCTTGACCATAATTTTCAAAATATACTTTATAATTCTTAACAAAGTGCAATTGCTTAGTAAAGGTTTTTTTAAAATACTTTTCTCCCTTTTTATGCATTGCTTTTCCATTTCACTCAGATTGTGCGACGCAGAACACAGCGTAGGAAGTCTGGAATCACATCACTCCTTTTTGGTAATAAAAAAAATTACGTAATAAAATATTTAATTCCCTGGAAAGAATACCACAGTTGAAGGTTGCTAATGGCTTTCTGTGTTTATTGCCAAACCATGTATTTGCTTTTAGCTAGGTTAAGCGGAATAGTGCTTCTCTGTGAGCCCATCCCTAAAGGCAACTCAGAAGTTGCAGCTAATGTAGAACATGGGAACTTTTAGAGCAGGGGTAGTCAACCTTGGCTCTTTTATGACTCGTGGACTTCAACTCCCAGAATTCCTGAGCCAGCTGTGCTGGCTCAGGAATTCTGGGAGTTGAAGTCCACGAGTCATAAAAGAGCCAAGGTTGACTACCCCTGTTTTAGAGTCTCAATAATATGAGCCAGCACTGTGCTGCAGCTGCCAAAAAGGCCAACACAGTGCTAGGCTGCATTAACAGAGGGATAGAATCAAGATCACGTGAAGTGTTAAACCACTTTACAATGCCTTGGTAAGGCCACACTTGGAATACCGCGTCTAGTTTTGGTCACCACGATGTAAAAAAGATGTTGAGACTCTAGAAAGAATACAGAGAAGAGCAACAAAGATGATTAGGGGACTGGAGGCTAAAATATATAAGGAACGGTTACTGGAATTGGGTATGTCTAGTTTAATGAAGAGACAGACGAGGGGGGACATGATAGCAGTGTTCCAATATCTCAGGGGCTGCCACAAAGAAGAGGGAGTCAAGCTATTTTCCAAGGCTTCTGAAGGTAGGACAAGAAGCAACGGATGGAAACTAATCAAGGAGAGAAGCAACCTAGAACTAAGAAGAAACTTCCTGACAGAACAATTAACCAGTGGAACAACCTGCCTCCAGAAGTGGTGAATGCTCCAACACTGGAAGTTTTTAAGAAGAGACTGGACAGCCATTTGTCCGAAATGGTATAGGGTTTCCTGCCTGAGCAGGGGGTTGGACTAGATGACCTCCAAGGTCCCTTCCGACTTTGCTATTATTATTATTATTATATGTTTGAGCTCTTAAATGGTTAGGACCTTGAACTTGAAGAAACGCCTCTACCAATAGGTACCTTCTCAAACACGAAGCTCTGCAGGTAGATCTCTTTTCAGCATCCCAGAATTGGAAAGATCATCTACAAGGAATGAACTCTTTTCTGTTGTGCCATCTCAGCTTTGGAATTACAGATAGTTGTCAGAATTGTTTACTTTTCAATGCTAGATAAAGACCTGAATTTTTTACTCCTGCATTTGAGATTTAACAGCTACAGCAGCCTGGTCATACTATATTTTCTCTTATAAAAATATGTGCCTCTTTGTTATTGTATTGTGGCTATGACTTGTTCAGTTAATTTAAAATTTTGCTTATTTTTTTGCCTCATTTTACTGTTTTATCATAGATATTGTATAGATTGTAACTCACCTTGGGATTGTTAAAATGTTGGGCAAACTATATGTATTTTAACTCATATAAAAACATGAGTTAATCCTCTAACACTAGTGGTTGTACAACCTAGTTCCTTCTGATTTAAATGAAATGATGTTCATTTGAAATTTTTTCAGTACCTGCAGTGAACCAATTTTGCTATTTCAGAGAAATTGTTTCTTACTTCTAGGAGAAGATGATATGGAGGCACTGAAAGCCAAAAATATTAAGCAAACAGAGCTAGTTGAAGATTTGCGTGAGGCCATCCTACAAGTGGCCCAGCATTTCCAGTGTGTGGATCCCAAGAGTTGCAGCATAGTGAGTATGGAACTATCCTCATGGACACAGCTATTTATTCTGTTAATAACATAGCTACATTTATGTTTAAGGGGAGGCACAGTTTTGTATGATTGTCATGGAGAAAATTTATCCTATGTGGTCACTAAGAGATGATACCAGATTGATGGCACATCAATACAAATAGATTTGTATAGTATTAGAATGGAAGAATATAGCTTACTGCTGTTCACCCTGCTGTCCAGGACTTGACTCCAGATTATACCATGGAAAGCCACCAGCGAGACCATGAAAGCTATGTTGCGTGTTCCCGTAACCAGCGACGACGTGCCAAGGCATTGTTGGATTTTGAGCGTCATGATGATGATGAACTAGGCTTCCGCAAGAACGATATCATCACGGTATGGTGGTCAGGACCAACACAATATGACATTAGACAGTGGGAAATTGAGATGACCTAATACTATAATATTGTATGAATAAGGAACAACAAATGTACTGATTTTTTTAATTTGTTTTATTTGTGCTGGACAAAACCATAACTAAAAAAACCCAGAAAATCATAATTACATATTTACATAAATGAGGAATCCTTGGTGCTGTCTGAGCTTGGTTATTTTCTTGCAGACATTTCATTACCCAAACTAGGTAACGTCATCAGTGCTAGGAAGGAGTGGGATTTGTTCTCTGTTTTTATAGTAACTTGCCCTGTCAATGTTGATGGGGGTGGTCTTCGAGGCTCTATGGTTGGGCTGTTTACTATTGCCTTGTTTGGCAGTTCCTTGATTGGGATATTGTTTACTTCTTGATTGTTGGTCTGATGTTAATCTTGGAGTTAATCTATGCTCATCTGGGCTTTGATTGCCAGTGGGGAGATGTTTTGATCTTTTTGTCCCCTTTTTGGCTTGTTGATTGTCTCTTTTGCACAGTATGTAGATTTTGTTTATGTTTATGTGTCTATTGATGGCTAATTTGTCAGAGTGACGGCTTCTAAAAATTCTCTAGTGTTTTTGGGCTTGGCTTGGTCTAGAATGGCCACAGTTTCCTATTGAAACAAATTATGCATCAATAGACACATGGACATGAATCTCAGAATCTGCCATTTTCATTTTTCCTGAAATATAACTTTTTGTTCTAGAGCAGGGGTCCCCAACCTATGGACCACGGCCCAGTGTGCTAGTGCTGCTGCGTGAGCACTAGTGGCCCCATTTGTGCAGGTGTGGGGGCGCTAGCACCGCTGCTAGCGTCACACAGGTGCTAGGGGCCCATTTGCACATGTGCGTGGGCGCTGGTGGCCCACATACACGGTGCCAGCATGCCACCAGCGGTGCTGTGGGGGCTGCTTGCGCATGCACATGGACCACTAGGTTGTGTGCATGCTAGCACCACAGTGTGCACGCCCGTTTGCACATGCACGTGCGGGGCCACACAGGTGCACATTTTCCTGCTCCTTCCTTTCCTTCTGGGCCGCCAAGCCAGAAAGGTTGGGGAGTTCTGTTCTAGAGTACTCTGGAGAATTTAGAGAGAAATAGGTGGCTGAATCTAAATTAGCTTTTCTCTTCTTTATGGTCTTTTAGAATTAAATAGCAAAGTTGATCCCAATTCATGACAGATACACTTGAATTCTCTTCACCTCTCATTTCCTGTTCTTATTTGCCATTTTTTCTGTCTTTTTCTGTGTGTAATTATTATTTTTCCTTTCCATTTCTGTAGATTATATCCCAGAAAGATGAACACTGTTGGGTGGGCGAACTAAATGGCTTGCGAGGTGAGTGAAAATGGGACTTAACAAAGTTTTTTTTTATATATTTACGTTTTTTAACTAGCTGAAGTTTTATCCTTTTACTGCTTTTTTAAAAAATAGGTTGGTTTCCTGCAAAATTTGTAGAGGTCCTGGATGAACGGAGCAAAGAGGTAATCTTGTGTACATACCTTATGGCTGAATCTTGGTCAGTCTCTTGGCTCAACACATTCTATTATATTTTGGCCCAAATGCAAATCAAAATATAAGAAAACCAGGGAATTAATTAAATGTACTGTAAGATCTAATTCGAAATTGGTAAGAAATCTTTTAAGAATAGCAAGTGAAAAGGCAAATAGGAAATTATTTAGAAATACTGTAGCAGCTTTTCCCATACATTTTGGGTTTATAACAGAGTTAGAAGGGACCTTCGAGGTCTTCTAGTCCAACCCCCTGCTCAAGCAGGAGACCCTATACCAGTGATGGCGAACCTTTTGGAGACCGAGTGCCCAAACTGCAACCCAAAACCCACTTATTTATCGCAAAGTGCCAACATGGCAATTTAACCTGAATACTGAGGTTTTAGTTTAGAAAAAACAACTCATATAGTAACATCTTTTGTCTTAAAAGAAAAACACAATAACAAAGCTTTCAATGATACAAACAACTTTTTATTGAAAGACCTGGAGGAACATTNTGCTCCAACACTGGAAGTTTTTAAGAAGAGACTGGACAGCCATTTGTCCGAAATGGTATAGGGTTTCCTGCCTGAGCAGGGGGTTGGACTAGATGACCTCCAAGGTCCCTTCCAACTTTACTATTATTATTATTATTATTATTATTATTATTATTATTATTATTATTATTATTATTATTATTATTATTATTATTATTATGTTTGAGCTCTTAAATGGTTAGGACCTTGAACTTGAAGAAACGCCTCCGCCAATAGGTACCTTCTCAAACACGAAGCTCTGCAGGTAGATCTCTTTTCAGCATCCCAGAATTGGAAAGATCATCTACAAGGAATGAACTCTTTTCTGTTGTGCCATCTCAGCTTTGGGATTACAGATAGTTGTCAGAATTGTTTACTTTTCAATGCTAGATAAAGACCTACATTTTTTACTCCTGCATTTGAGATTTAACAGCTACAGCAGCCTGGTCATACTATATTTTCTCTTATAAAAATATGTGCCTCTTTGTTATTGTATTGTGGCTATGACTTGTTCAATTAATTTAAAATTTTGCTTATTTTTTTGCCTCATTTTACTGTTTTATCATAGATATTGTATAGATCAGGGGTAGTCAACCTTGGCTCTTTTATGACTCGTGGACTTCAACTCCCAGAATTCTGGGAGTTGAAGTCCACAAGTCATAAAAGAGCCAAGGTTGACTACCCCTGGTATAGATTGTAACTCACCTTGGGATTGTTAAAATGTTGGGCAAACTATATGTATTTTAACTCATATAAAAACATGAGTTAATCTTTTAACACTAGTGGTTGTACAACCTAGTTCCTTCTGATTTAAATGAAATGATGTTCATTTGAAATTTTGTCAGTACCTGCAGTGAACCAATTTTGCTATTTCAGAGAAATTGTTTCTTACTTCTAGGAGAAGATGATGTGGAGGCACTGAAAGCCAAAAATATTAAGCAAACAGAGCTAGTTGAAGATTTGCGTGAGGCCATCCTACAAGTGGCCCAGCATTTCCAGTGTGTGGATCCCAAGAGTTGCAGCATAGTGAGTATGGAGCTATCCTCATGGACACGCTATTTATTCTGTTAATAACATAGCTACATTTATGTTTCCAATTTAAGGGGAGGCATAGTTTTGTATGATTGTCATGGAGAAAATTTATCCTATGTGGTCACTAAGAGATGATACCAGATTGATGGCACATCAATACAAATAGATTTGTATAGCATTAGAATGGAAGAATATAGCTTACTGCTGTCCACCCTGCTGTCCAGGACTTGACTCCAGATTATACAATGGAAAGCCACCAGCGAGACCATGAAAGCTATGTTGCGTGTTCCCGTAACCAGCGACGACGTGCCAAGGCATTGTTGGATTTTGAGCGTCATGATGATGATGAACTAGGCTTCCGCAAGAACGATATCATCACGGTATGGTGGTCAGGACCAACACAATATGACATTAGACAGCGGGAAATTGAGATGACCTATTACTATAATATTGTATGAATAAGGAACAACAAATGTACTGATTTTTTTTAATTTGTTTTATTTGTGCTGGACTAAACCATAACTAAAAAAACACAGAAAATCATAATTACATATTTACATAAATGAGGAATCCTTGGTGCTGTCTGAGCTTGGTTATTTTCTTGTAGACATTTCATTACCCAAACTAGGTAACGTCATCAGTGCTAGGAAGGAGTGGGATTTGTTCTCTGTTTTTATAGTAACTTGCCCTGTCAGTGTTGATGGGGGTGGTCTTCGAGGCTCTATGGTTGGGCTGTTTACTATTGCCTTGTTTGGCAGTTCCTTGATTGGGATATTGTTTACTTCTTGATTGTTGGTCTGATGTTAATCTTGGAGTTAATCTATGCTTATCTGGGCTTTGATTGCCAGTGGGGAGATGTTTTGATCTTTTTGTCCCCTTTTTGGTTTGTTGATTATCTCTTTTGCACAGTATGTAGATTTTGTTTATGTTTATGTGTCTATTGATGGCTAATTTGTCAGTGACGGCTTCTGAAAATTCTCTAGTGTTTTTGGGCTTGGCTTGGTCTAGAATGGTCACAGTTTTCCATTGAAACAAATTATGCATCAATAGACACATGGACATGAATCTCAGAATCTGCCATTTTCATTTTTCCTGAAATATAATTTTTTGTTCTAGAGCAGGGGTCCCCAACCTCTGGGCCACGCTTTGTGCATGTGTGGGGGCGCTAGCACCACTGCTAGCATCACACAGGTGCTAACGGCCCATTTGCACATGTGCATGGGCGCTAGTGGCCCGCATACACGTGGGTGCCAGCATGCCATCAGCGGTCCTGTGGGGGCTGCTTGCGCATGCACATGGGCCACTAGCTTGTGTGCATGCTACCACCACAGTGCGCATGCACGTTTGCACATGCACGTGCGAGACCACACAGGTGCACATTTTCCTGCTCCTTCCTTTCCTTCTGGGCCGTCAAGCCGGAAAGGTTGGGGAGCTCTGTTCTAGAATACTTTGGAGAATTTAGAGAGAAATAGGTGGCTGAATCTAAATTAGCTTTTCTCTTCTTTATGGTCTTTTAGAATTAAATAGCAAAGTTGATCCCAATTCATGACAGATACACTTGAATTCACCTCTCATTTCCTGTTCTTATTTGCCATTTTTTCTGTCTTTTTCTGTGTGTAATTATTATTTTTCCTTTCCATTTCTGTAGATTATATCCCAGAAAGATGAACACTGTTGGGTGGGTGAGCTGAATGGCTTGCGAGGTGAGTGAAAATGGGACTTAACAAAGTTTTTTTTTATATTTACGTTTTTTAACTAGCTGAAGTTTTATCCTTTTACTGCTTTTTTAAAAAATAGGTTGGTTTCCTGCAAAATTTGTAGAGGTCCTGGATGAACGGAGCAAAGAGGTAATCTTGTGTACATACCTTATGGCTGAATCTCGGTCAGTCTCTTGGCTCAACACATTCTATTATATTTTGGCCCAAATGCAAATCAAAATATAAGAAAACCAGGGAATTAATTAAATGTACTGTAAGAGCTAATTCGAAATTGGTAAGAAATCTTTTAAGAATAGCAAGTGAAAAGGCAAATAGGAAATTATTTAGAAATACTGTAGCAGCTTTTCCCATACTTTTTGGGTTTATAACAGAGTTAGAAGGGACCTTCGAGGTCTTCTAGTCCAACCCCCTGCTCAAGCAGGAGACCCTATACCAGTGATGGCGAACCTTTTAGAGACCGAGTGCCCAAACTGCAACCCAAAACCCACTTATTTATCGCAAAGTGCCAACATGGCAATTTAACCTGAATACTGAGGTTTTAGTTTAGAAAAAACAACTCATATAGTAACATCTTTTGTCTTAAAAGAAAAACACAATAACAAAGCTTTCAATGATACAAACAACTTTTTATTGAAAGACCTGGAGGAACATTGTCCATGGGGTCGCGATGGGGCGGACACGACTTCACAACTAACAACAACAAAAAAGTTTGCATTTGGCATGCTTTTGAACAATTAATGTGATTTTTGCTGTTCTATGCATGCTGATAATTTGTCTAACCTTGGCTCATACTTTGTAAGTTTGAGAGCAACACATGCAGCACTCAGGTCATCTGTTAGTCTGTTTCTGGTGTCAGATTTGATATAATTCAAAACTGAAAACAGCTGCTCACAAGCATAAAATGATCCAAACAAAGTAAGGAAAGCAATCCCAAATATTTTCATTGACTTAAAATTATTTGGCAGAGAATTCCACACTTTAAGGATTTCATTTTTAGAACTAACTATGCTGTCCTTTGTTATCCTTGTTTTTGCAGGATTGCTCTCAATAAGAGCGAGGCATGCTTTGGCTCCATTTTTGCCAAGAAGGGGCTTGGGAAATGGCTTTTTCCTGGCAAAAATAAGCCTCCGAGTCCTGATGCTGGTGGAGTGAGGCAGCGGAGGCCACAGCAGACCCTTCACTGTCTCTCCTCGCTTCCCCAAAGCCTCCCTTCACTAACCTTTCCAGCTCTGTTCTCCACCATCGCCTGCAGGGTAACAAAAGAAGCTTGTGGGACTACCGGTTAACCAGACCTTCCAGCTTTGTGAGATTTTTTTTTTCTGCGAGAAATTGGAAGGTCAGATTGATATTTTTTTTTAGTCCCACAAACTTCTTTTGTTGCCCTGCACACAGAGAACGGAGCTGGAAAAGAGCTTAGGGAAGGAATGTGATTGCCCTGGGGTGGGGGTTAGGATTTGGCATTGTGGATGCCCTGGGGTCTGGTGAGGGTTAGGGTTTGGTATTGTGGATTGTGGAGTGTTTGTGCTCTAGTGGGGCTGTTCAAAATGCAGGGATTCCCTGCATTTTGAAGTACCCTGTGTGACTGCATAGAAAGGAGCGCTCTGTTTCTCAAGCGCCCCATTCCAGGAATATGGAGCTTGCAGTCTCTGCCAGATCTCCATTGGGATAAAGTCTTTTAGCTCCTATAGAGCGCTTCCAAATGCAGCCAGTCCCTGCGTTTGGAAGCGCTCCATAGTTGCCGAAACATTTTTTTATCCCAACGAAGATCTGGCAGAAGGCTCCGTTTCTCAAGCGCCCCATTTTTTTATCCCAGTGAAGATCTGGTAGAAGGCTCCATTTCTCAAGCACCCCATTCCAGGCATACGGAGCTTGCAGTCTCCACCAGATCTCCGCCAGATCTGGCAGAGACTGCAAGCGCCGTATGCCTGGAATGGGGCGCTTGAGAAACAGAGCCTTCTGCCAGATATCCATTTTGATAAAAAAAAGTGTTTCAGCACCTATGAAGTGCTTCCAAACGCAGGGACGGCTGCGTTTGGAAGTGCTCTATAGGAGCTAAAAGACTTTATCCCAACTGAGATCTGGCAGAGACTGCAAGCTCTATGGCTAAGTTTTCATAGGAAAAAGCCATTTCTCAAGCCCCTTCCTAGTGAAAACATGCTTGCTCTTCTTAAGAGCAATCCTGCAAAAACTTAGCCAAAGAGTGAGGCATGTTCGCTCCAGAGGCTTGATTTGTTCTAGGAAGGGGCTTGAGAAATGGCTTTTTCCTGCAAAAACGTAGTCAAAGAGCAAGGCGCACGTGTCCACAGAAAGGGCTCTGAGTGCCCCCTCTGGCACACGTGCCATTGGTTCACCACCACTGCCCTATACCATTCCAGACAAGTGGCTGTTCAGTCTCTTCTTAAAAGCCTCCAGTGATGGAGTATCCACAACTTCTGAAGAAAGGCTTAACCAGGTGATAGAACTTGCTGACAATGCATTTGATCTCACTGCACTTGTCACACCTTGACTTAGTGCACAAGAACCCATCCACAAATCATCAGAACAGAGATGGCATATTGATTGATTGATTGATTGATTATTTGCTATGAAGTTGTTTTCAGCTCCTAGTGACCGCAAAGATAGATTTTCTTCGGGACCATCTAGCCCTCATCTGATCTTTCAGGTTTTCCAATGAAGCAGTCATTGCTACCACTTTGCTGCTTGTCTTCTTTCCTTTCCTTCTACTTTTCCCAGCATTAGAGGCTTTTCCAGAGAGCTAGGTCATCATCCCAAGAACAATAATTTGAGCTTCATTATTTTTGCCTTGAGTAAGAACTAAACAAATCTTTATCATGAATCACTTTCTTGGCTGGGCTACCTTTAGGTAATTAAGAGGCTAAAATCTCATTCCTTTCAGTACTCTATTGCTGGAGACGATTCAGTTACAGAAGCTATCACAGACTTGGTTCGAGGGACCCTCTGCCCAGCCCTCAAGGCTATATTTGAACACGGACTGAAGAGGCCATCTTTGTTAGGTGGTGCCTGTCACCCCTGGCTCTTCATTGAAGAGGTAAAGAAAGCAATTACTATTTGCAGGATCTTTGAAAATACTGATAGTCCTTGTTTAGTGACCACCTCATACAGTGACCATTTGCAAGTGCAACATTGAGGGAAAATGACTGTGCGATCAATCCTCAGCTTTATGACTGCAGGTTTGTTCACTTAGCAACCGCTTTGCTTAACAACCAAGTTGCCATTCCCAATTGTGGTCACTAACCAATGACTTCCTGTAAGCTGGCAAGTACATAAGAAAGTATTATGTACTAGAGTATATCAACTCTGTATATCTGGACTGCAAGGCATTTGAATAAACCTGGGGGCTAGATGTAGCTAATTTGGTGGGGTGGATATAGGTCTAAATTAATGGTCACCTGTAAGAGAAATAAAACCAAGATTTAAAATAAAGTTAATATATGTCTTTAGGCTGCTGGGCGTGAGGTGGAGCGAGACTTTGATTCTGTGTATTCTCGGCTTGTACTCTGCAAAACCTACAGGTAAAGTTTCTCCTCACTGAAATGTTCTATATTTACCAAGGTTTTTCTTGTAATATTTTCATAAGATTCTGGCCTAGTAAATGGTGGAACAGAATATTGCAGCATATATTCCTTAAACAGACAATTCTCTTAATTATCTATTTTTGGGCAATCCAATCAAGTTTCAGGAAAAAGAAAATAGTATCTCCCCTATCCTCACCATCTTTGAAAAAAATAAAGTGTGTAACAGCCCCTGTGCTATCATCTGCCATAAGCCAAACTCAGAAGAATTAAAAGGAAGAATACTGGTCTTTATATTATCCAGGAAGTAATTTTAGATGTAGCCCTAGGTAAAAATTTATTTCAGTAAACCACTATCATCTTGTCTTTTAAACCCAAACATGCCTAAGATTATTTATTTATTTTAAATTGTACTGTAAAATTTTGGCTGTTTTATCTTCTTGCATTTTGTTAATGCTATTTTAGGGTGTTGGCCATTGCCTATAAATTGCCAGTGAATGGGACTATATCCTTGATTTATGAAACCCCGTTTTAGATTGGAGAAAATCATTTTTATCTGGGAGCAGACTTCAGTATTGGACATCTAAATATGTTATTTTTGAAAGCATGTAAAAATCATCATGGTCCCAGTTATAGATTTCAGATTATTTTGGAGGGTGGGGACCAGAATGGCTATCCTTTTTAATCCTCTATTTTATCTACTGCCCATATCAAAATATGACAGTTTCTAGAAGTATCTGGCAACAGAGTTATGTATGATGGAAATTGCAAGGACTATTGAGACTCTTATTTAAGAAGAAATACTATTAGTTTAAAGGTAGAAATGGCACTGGGCCTATTGCTTTGGCATAACTAATACATAAAGCAAATTACTTTACTGTTTTAGGTTAGATGAAGATGGAAAAGTGCTTACTCCAGAAGAACTTCTTTATCGAGTGAGTGTACAGTTTGATCCCTAAAATAGACATGGAGAAAATCCTAAATAGGCTGATATGAGTGACCAAAATCTGTTATCTTATGAGACTGTGGAAAAGCCATTGGTACTGTCAGTGTCAGCAGATGGCATTTTAAGATTTAATCATCCCAGTTGCCTCCAGAGGCCCTAAATTGAGAATGTGAAGTTTTGGTATTTTCTGGTACCAAAGGGAGGAGGGTTATCCACGTATCTTCATTTTTTTCCTGGAAGGCAGTACAGTCTGTGAATATGTCACATGATGCCGCCCATGCTCAGATGGATGTAAAGCTTCGGTCTCTCATCTGTATTGGATTGAAGTGAGTCATACAATTTTGTTTCAAGCTTGCATGTATTAATAGACAAGAGTAAAGAATAACTTTGGATTTCATTTTATTGAAAAAGCCGTGGAATAGCAGTTCAGGGTGTATTTGTCAGCCCATCGCGGTAGATCAGACTAGGAAACCAATGTCATGTGGATTAATGCCACTTTTATTATAAAGCTATGTTAACATAGCCTTGCAGGTCTGAATGTGCTTCCTCCCTCCCTCCTTTGTGTGAACTAAGGAAGGGTTTGCCTGAGATATTTTCCTCATGTCACACTCTTGTCCCAGATGCAGACTGCTCTTGTCTGACCATTACCTTGGTAGCAACTTCTCCTCCTCTTATCTTTCAAGGTAATTCCTTCTGCCCTCCATAGTAATTTACCAGTTTATGTCTTTAAGCATGCCAAATGAACTCAGGCTGCTTCTGTTGAACGCTATTCTGTTTGGCTTGCCCCTCCATAAAATGATAGAAGGGATGAGAAAGTAGACTCACAATCTGTCATCAAGACATGGCTAGGTGAGGTTGGAGGGTTGCTTACATCTGAAATCTGTCTTGCTGGATTTTGCATGGCATGCAATCATAACTTCAAGGCAGAGGAGGAGGGCGGTATGGATATGCCCAAGACTCTTGTAATAGCTAGATGCCCTGTTCCACATGGCCAGATTTGAAGTTCTTTATGAGAAGATGGGTACCAGTGACAGGCTGAGAGTTTTTGTGGTCTCTTTCCCCCACCCACCCCTCCTTCCTAGGCTCCTGAATCTGATAGCTGAGCTAGTGATGGATATTCCCAGGCTCTGTGTGCTAGAAGATTTCAGTCTACATATCTTGGAAATAGGGCCAGGGGGATCTAGGAGTCCATGGATACCATGTGCCAAAGCACCTTCTCAAGGGGAGGAGATATTGCCCTGTATCTGGGCTTCTCCTCAAAAGCAATTAATATGTAACTTGACAGTGGAGGTGATTCACATTAGTCTGTTTTCATGGTCAGTTACTGTATGTTACTCAGAATAAATTCTTTAGTTTAGAATTCATGAATTCTGGCTGTAGGTTGTAGTGGGTGGAGATTCCATACATTAGTTATTTGCATGGCTGATCTAAACAATATGGCACTTGGTTCTAATCATTCCAGGACTCTGTTATTGTAAGTTGCATAGAATTGCAAAAAAATAAAACTAATGAGGAACAAGATTTATTTTTTCACCTGTTATCCTGGATTGCCTAATATGATGGAACTTGTAACTTGATTTATAACTTGATTTTCAGTGAGCAGGTGCTACACCTGTGGCTTGAGGTACTTTGCTCGAGTCTGCAGTCAGTGGAGAAATGGTTCCATCCCTGGTCATTTCTGCGCAGTCCTGGCTGGGTACAGATCAAGTGTGAGCTCAGGTAAGTGGCATTTTTTTTCTGCCTCCATATTACTGTACTGCCAGACTGTGTTTTCTGGAAACTACACTCTTATCTAAATAAATTCATACCAATTTGATGCAATGGAGGTAAGTATATTGTTTAAATATCTCACACTTGATGTCCTTGAGATTCTCTTATGCTGCCCTTCTCTGTAGGGAGGCCAGACCCATTTGAACCGTCCAGTCTCAGTGACTGATGACCTGAATGGGATTCAGAGGGAACTAGGGGATATCCAGAGGGCCTTGCTGCACAGTCCTGCTGAAACTATGGTTATGTCCCGGAACCAAAGGGTGTCTGATGCTTTGGACAGGATTATGCCTGTGCTGCCTCTCTTGACCCTTCACTCCTAACACTCCCCATGGTTCAGGAGGAGCTGAATGTTCCAAAGGGGGCCAAGAGACACCTACAGTGCTGCTGGAGGAAAACGAGAGATGAATCTGATTGGACATGATTTACTGCCTATCTTGTGACTGTAAGAGCAGCGAAACACCTTTATTTCTCTGCTCTTATTGCGTATGTAGAGTGTCACCCGATGACCCTGTTTGGGATCGCCCGGTCCTTTCTGGGACAGGAGGGCTTGTGTGATCATCTTCAGGGCCATGCAGAGGAATTTGTAGAACACTTGACAAAGTCGCTTGGATTCCTTCCCAATTGGAATCCATACATGGTGAAGATCCATTAGAGATGTCTGGATAAAAGTCTTGCTCAGTTATCTGGAAACTGTTCGATCCTGTTAGACCTGATGAAGTGGACAGGGTCTTCAATGCTGTCAGTGCAAACACCTGTCAATTAGTTCCCTGTCCCTGCTGGCTGGTGAAAGTGTCCAGGATGTGACAGGTAGGTGAGTTCAAGCAGAGATAAATTCACTGAAGGAGGGGATGTTTCCGGGACCTTTGAAGGAGGCCCTGGTTCACCTCCTTCTAAAAGAAAATCTCTTGATCCCATCTAGACAATTTCTGTCCAGTCTCCCACCTTCCCTTTTTAGGGAAGATGATAGAGAATGTGGTTGCATGGCCGCTTCAAAGGATCATGGATGAAACGGATTGTCTGAACCCCTTCAAGTCAGTATTCAGGCCCAGTTATGGGAGAGAAGCAACATTAGTCGTACTTGTCAATGATTTCTGACAAGAATGAGATGGATGTAGTGCATCCATCCTTGCAGTCCTTGACCTCTCAGCTGCCTTCACTACCATTGATCATCATATCCTTTTGTGCCAACTGCAGAGTGTGGGGCTGGGCAGTGCAGTTTTGGCTCCTTTTTTCAAGGTCAGTCCAATCAATGTTGATAGGGAGTGAGAGGTCCGGTCCATGGCTGTTATTTTATGGCATCCCACAAGGCTTAGTATTTTCTCCACTCCTGTGTAACATCTAAATTAAGCCGCTGGGTGAGATCATTCACCACTACGGGATGGGGTATCATCAATAAGCAGATGATATTCAAATTTACACCCCCATCCCAAGTGATACAAATGAAGTTGTCACTGCCCTTGTGGTGTCTGGAGGCTGTTTTGGTAAGATTGAGTGGGTGTGTGGAGCTCCAGGTCCTGAGATCTTAACATTAGTTCTGGATGGGGTGGCACTATCCCAGATAGACCCAATGCACAATGTGGGGGTTCTCCTGGATTCACAACTCTTAATGAGCAGATGGGAGTCCTGGTTAGGAGAGCTCTTGCACAACTCTATGTTGCGCACCAGTTGTGCCTTTCTTGAATCAGGAGTTCCTACACATAGTCACTCAAGTCCTGATCATCACTCAGTTGGACTGCTGCAATGTGTTGTATATGGGGCTACCCTTGAAAACTATCCAGAAGCTTCAGCAGGTGCAGAATGCAGCTGTGTGGGCAGTTCTTGGGGCCTCTAGGACGGTCCATATTACATTGCTGTTCCGCGAGTTGCATTGGTTGCCAATTTGCTTCCTGGTTGAAATCAAAGTGTTGGTCATTATCTATAATGCCCTTCATAGCATGGGTCCAGGTTATCTGAGGGACTGGCTCATTGCAACGAGATTAGCTTGCCCCACCTGCACCAACAGAGGAGGCATGCTGCAGACCCTGTCAGTCAAGGAATTTTGATGGGAGGGTCCAAGAGAAGAGTTTTTACTGCTGTGGCACCCGCCTTCTGAAACATCCTGCCCCCCCGTAAGTTCTGACCCACCCGTCTGACCTTCTGAAAGGTCTTGAGACTTGGCTCTGCCAGCTGGCCTGGGGTCCCAATGGGGGAATGGCATTTTTGAAGTGGTTAGTGGATTAGTCAGACCCCATACCTCCCCATTTGCACTTTGCATTGTAATTCCATTGTAATTAATTGAATTTTATCTAAATTCAGTTAATTTAGATAAAGTTAAAAGGAAACTGCTGGGCATTTGCCATGAATGGCAGAGGTTGATTGATTGTTGTTGTTGTTAGTTGCGAAGTTGTGTCCAACCCATCGCGACCCCGTGGACAACGTTCCTCCAGGCCTTCCTGTCCTCTACCATCTTCTAGAGTCCATTTGAGCTGACGCCTACTGCTTCAGTGACTCCATCCAGCCACCTCATTCTCTGTCATCCCCTTCTTCTATTGCCCTCAATCTTTCCCAGCATTAGGCTCTTCTCCAGTGAGTCCTTCCTTCTCATTAGGTGGCCAAAGTATTTGAGTTTCAACTTCAGGATTTGGCCTTCTAAAGAGCAGTCAGGGTTGATCTCCTCTAGGACTGACCGGTTTGATTGCCTTGCTGTCCAGGGGACTCGCAGGAGTCTTCTCCAGGCGATGATGCATTTCTTCATTCCTCACGAAGGGTGACACCTCCCCAGCTGCGTTTCCTGCCTTGGCACTTGCCCTGGTCCCACTCTCTTCTGCCAGAGACCCTCAGATCTGTCCCATTCCTGCCCAGGCCCCCACAGGCCCCCTTGACACGAATGATGTAGAGCTGGCCACACCCACACCATCCACACCCACCCAGTAGGCCGCACCCACCCTGGCCACACACCCCCGCCCCCCCCCGAGGGCAACCACAAAGCTGATGTCTCCCTCAATGAAATTGAGTTTGACACCCCTGGTATAGTGTGTTACCAATTGTTTTCTTGGTGACTATGGTCCCAGCTGCCTTGAGATCATTGACAAAATCCTCCCGTGTAGTTCTGGGCTGATTCCTCACTGTTCTCATGATCATTGAAACTCCACAAGGTGAGATCTTGCATGGAGCCTCAGACCGAGGGACATAGACAGTTATTTTGTTTCTTCCATTTGCAAATAATCACACCAACTGTTGTCACCTCACCAAGCTGCTTGGCAATACTCTTGTAGCCCATTCCAGCCTTGTGTAGGTCTACAATCTTCTCCCTGACATCCTTGGACAGCTCTTTGGTCTTGGCCATGGTGGAGAGTTTGGAATCTGATTGCTTCTGTGGACAGGTGTCTTTTATACAGGTAACAAGCTGAGATTAGGAGCACCCCCTTTAGGAGAGTGCTCCTAATCTCAGCTCATTACCTGTATAAAACATACCTGGGAGCCAGAAATCTTGCTGATTGATAGGGGATCAAATACTTATTTCACTCATTAAAGCGCAAATCAATTTATAACTTTTTTGAAATGCGTTTTTCTGGATTTTTTTGTTGTTATTCTGTCTGTCTCTGTTAAAATAAACCTACCGTTAAAATTATAGACTGATCATTTCTTTGTTAGGTGGGTAAACGTACAAAATCAGCAGGGGATCAAATAATTTTTTTCCTCACTGTAGCAATGTTACCTAATTTCATTGTCTATATTGTATATAGACGAATCTTAAATCCTAATTGCTGGGTATATTCTATCACAGGGTCCTCAGTAAATTTGCATTCAGCCTTTCTCAGGACTGGGAACTCCCAACAAAAAGAGAGGTGAGTATGTGACCCTGAAACTTTACCTGGATTTCTTAGCACAGATCAGAAATGTCTTACTATCCTTGGCCTTGGATAGGAATGGGAGGTGCATGTGACTGTATCTTCCTTTCCTAGCCCTCAAACCCTTTCTTTCTTAGGGACCAACTGTCTGAAGGCCCCGAATCATACATTAACAAGAATCACTAAGGTTGTACACTGTTTATAAACTCTTTGCTTGTTTTCTATAGGAGAAGGAGAAGAAACCACTGAAGGAAGGCGTTCAGGACATGCTTGTGAAACATCATCTCTTCAGCTGGGACATAGATGGGTGATTCCTTTATGAGTCAGTGTTTGGACTTCTTGAATGGCAAATGAATGTTTGACATATATCCTCTCTTCTCCCCGGCACTTTTCTGGCCCTTTGTGTGTTACATATCTTTCTGTAACCTGCCTCCCTCCAGTAAACTTCTACTAATTACTATTAACATTTGGCAGCAATTTGCTATAGAAGAGGATTGAAGACCCTGTTGTTCACCCATAGTGCGAACTATAATCCAAGTAGCCTACCTAATAGTGAGCAGTGTTGGCCTTCTAAAGGGCCACAGATTTCCCATTCAATAGCAAACAGGAGGAGCATTTCAAGTGACCCAGGTTTTTCAGTAGTGTTGCTTTTCTTCATAACTTATGGCTACAAAGAAATGTGACTTTATATCACTTGGACCCTGTACTTGTTGAAAACAAACACTTTTACTGACTCATAAATGTATTAAAAAATAATGGCATAACTAGAAAATGAAGGATTCCCCCCCCAAGGTAACCATCTAGCAGTTATTACATTTCTTCTGTCCAGGAGAGCAGAGCGATGGTGGAAAAGTTCTGTTGAAATTTGCCTCATTCACGGAAGAGGCTTTATTTTGCAATGCAAAAAATGCAAGCTCGCTTTACTAAGAACGTGATAGTGTGGAAATGGTTTTTTTTTTCTTGGTGCTAATATGCACAAATGGCTTTGGTACTGCCATAAAGTGCCTAAAAAGACTGCCCAGTGATTGAGGCTGCCATGGGTATTATAAAAAATAATTGCAATAGCAGTCTGTCCTTTTCATTCTGTTCAGCTGTGATCCAGGCTTAATTATTTTACCTAGATCATTTTTTAAATTATTACAAGAGAGCTATATTATATTCAGAAATTTATGTATATTTTGACATATCTCTAGAATGGGAAATGGATTCAGGCTTGAGCTGGCTCAGGGGATAACTTCAGCTTCTATCTGTGGGTGTGAGCAGAGTGTGCAGGGCAGAAGCACACCCTTTGCTTCATGGTATCTGCATTAGTCCAAATACAAGAAATGAAGAGCACTAGTGGAGAGCACAATCAAACCATTAAATGAAGATTAATCAAGATTGTATCATTTTTGGCTTATAAATTGATGGTTTATCTTGTAACTGCCTAAGACAGGCTAAATGGGAGCGAACTTTTATATATACTAGCCTGTTGTTCTTGTTCTTCATATGAACTACAGAGTATTAGTCTTACTGAGTGGGTCTGGACACTTTTGTACTTATATCTCTATAGACACTGTATACCATGTAAGGGATGAAATTATATATCTAGATACAGTGTTTCTAATTCCATAAATAGTACTCTTACAATCACAGTTTTTTCCACCCTTTCTCTTCCTACTTATGGGAACAGAGGCAAAATATTCAAAAGTAAGATAAAACACAGGTATAGCTAATGCTGGTAGTAGAGAAAAACTTGCCACCTAAATTTTGTGTCAATAGCAATACCGTGAAGTAGTTCCGTGTTATTCATGTGCTAAATGCCTTTGTCTGTATTTTCACCATGGCAAATACATGTTATTGATAATGCCATGACCAAAGATAAGATGTACAAAAATGCTAGAACACAATTTTTTTAATAAAATGGATTTTTCAAATATCTGTAAATGAAAAAATAATTTGATTTATCATTCTTTACCCTTCCCCAGTTTCTCATTACATATCCTTTTCCAGTTGCGTGTTCATTCTATGTCAATCCAAAAGCCCTGCTTAAGACTCCTCCTCATGTTGCTAATTATTTTTGTTGACGGATACAGGAAGAAAATGTGCATGCTGATCAAATACATGTTATTCAAATATGATTTTCAGCAGAAAAATGTGTATGTTTAGACTAGAGGCAAATTCTTATTTGCTGTATGGAGTAAAAGGAGAATTTTAGAGAGGATAAATGACAGATACTACTTTATACACTGGAGAAAAATGAACTCTGATGTACATCCCAATTCCCCCTTCCATGACAAGTAATATCTCAAAAGCCTTTTAAGTTCATTAGTAGTGTTCTGTCAAAGCTTTTCATTTTATTTTTGTATTCGCTTATGGTGAATAGTTTCTTCTTTCAGAGACAGGCAGTTGTCATAGCACCTTTTGAGATAAAGTCCTCTTGTTTGATAGCTTGTTTACTGTTCTCAGAATGAGGGAACATGCAAAATGCTCATATTGATCTAACTGCTCCCTCCCACTGATATGGCCCTAATGTAGGTTATACAAGTTTTATTATCCAAACTATCCAAAACTAGCTATCTTTGCAAACTAGCCACTAATCTATATGATTGGTTGCATGTCCTGCAGAATATAAAAGATGAATACATTCAGCAATTCAAACAATCTGATTCCTGCAGAAAGATTTTTACAGAAATCAGCTTTACTTGCAGTTAGCTATTCCAGGACTCTGGCTAGTCACATAACCGCAACTAACTTTTCAAGATGAGGCTCTTCATCATAAACGGGTATTAGGATGATACAGGCTCTATAAACTGTTAGAGAATCAGAAGTAAAGGAGTTTTTGGAATTCTGTGAAACTAGAGAAGTCTCTTTTAGTGGGGAAGAAGCTTATGCCAACAGATCCATGAGTTACACATTCTTCTCTATAGAAAGGGAGATTGACTAATAATATTTAATGGCATATGCAAAAAGGTTAAACTGGTAGTTCAAGGGCAAGGTATGTGTTCCAACCCCCAGCCTAAAATGTTTTACAAAAAGGAGAAGCTAAAGGAAAGCATCACCTAATAATGATTAATTTCATTAGCTTTCTAGAACAGTTTTATAGAGATATGTACAAGTTTACTAGGTAAAAAATAAAGCCAAGTTTCAAGAGGAAAGACTGGGATTTACAACCACATTTCACAGTAGCAGGGATTATGGCTACGTAAGTTTCCTCTGTGTAATAGCACATGCATCTCCATACCAAATGATGCCCTTTTTAGAAGAAAGTTGATGTGTGTGTTCCTCAAGGTTCTTATTGATTGAATCATTTAAAGTGTTAAAATCAGCCAAGCTATCCAAGGAGAGGTACAACCACAACTGCTTTAAATGCAGCGATGCAATAGATTACTTTCCTATGAACCCAGCTGTCAATACAGAGGAAGCTATATTTTCTGTGCAAAAACAGGGAGGACAGCTACCGTGTTTCTCCAAAAGTAAGACCTGCCCTGAAAATAAGCCCTAACTTGATTTTTGGGGGTGGGCCTAAGCACTACCTCAAATATAAGCCCGTTTGGGGCGAGGCACAGACCTAAAAATCAAGTTAGGGCAGCAGTGGGGGTGTGGAGCTGCCCACGCGCCCTACACTCTCTTATCTTGCAGCCAGGCCTCTCCTCTCCAGCCCACTTCTTCCGTGGCATCCCCAGGCCTACATTTTGCAGTCAGAGGCCTTCCAGAAAGGCCTTTGACTGCGAAATGCAGGCCGGAGCTCCATTCTCAACTGCAGAATGAAGCTGCTCCATTGGCCGCAGAAGCGGGCTGGCTGGGCGGAGCTGTCGGTGCCGGAGGTGAGTGGAAAAGATACATACACACACACCCCGAAAATAAGACCTGCCTCTTTTGGAGGCAAAAAAAAAAAAAAGTCCGTGTCTTACTTTCTGGGAAACACGGTAAATCTGTGAATAGTAGGAAGAGCAGGGCTTACAGCTCAAATGCTGATGTTAGACTGCCAACCAGTCAGTTCAAAACTCCATTTCCTCAAAACAGCACTATATTCCATAACTGGAACCATTAGAATAATTTTTAAAGGAATTACAGGAAGCTGAAAACACTGTACTTTGTACAACTGTCTTGATTCATTGCAAATCTTGGCTGGTAAAATACTAGAACCAGAATAATTGGCCCTCTGTTTATTTTACATTGGGGCAATCCAGAACAGCAAGAGCTGTTCTCTTAAGTTATGATATAATGTGGATTTAGCTTTCTTAGTAGGCAGGAAGCACATATACTACAGCATTATCAAGAAAAAGGCTATTTTAACTAGAATGTAACCCTCCGAGCTGATTGTAAACTTCAGTATGAATTCATCCTAATTCCCCATTTCCTTTCCCAGATGAGTCATATTCTAAGTGAAAATCTTTACAGTGTGGACAAATTAACTTTTTCCAATTTTTTTAATGCTTTCCAATTAGATAGATTAATCTCCAGCAAGGAGAATTGTGTTTGCCAATGAATTTTTCTGGATCCTTTGCCTAGAACTGCTCCAACTTCTCCTTTATGTTGAAGTATCTGCAGTTACTCATAGAACTCTGATGCAATTGCTAAATGTTTGAGGAAAGAGCCACATTTTGACAAACCACTGGAAAAAGTGGAAGCTTTCCTGAGATTGAATTTTCATTCAGAAAACATCATGGGTACTTGCCCTTGGCTCTAGCGTTACAAAAACTGGTCAAAATTGGGAAGGGGGGGGGAGAAAAAAGAAGGTTCATTAGATGCACTGTTTACTTAAATTCTTGCTCATCTGCTACACCCACCTGTACTCCCTTCAGTTTACTTGGTCAAAAAGTTATAAGCAAGAATCCCAGTGCAGCTGCAAATCATGTCCATCAAGGAAATCTGTGGAGAAGAGGCTAGGGGTTGCAGAACTGAGGGGCGTAAGGCTCATCACTGGCCCTCCTGACAGCTCCAACCAATCCATGCTGTCCAAATTGGGTTCTGCCAAGTCCAAACCTGGTCCCCCGGCAGATTCAGGGGCAAAGTGCAATTCTGATGTGTCCATAGGTGAGGATGGATGGTCCAGGATAGCTGAACTGCTTAGCATCTCACTGTAGAGATCAATTAGGGGCTCGGTTCCATCAGGGACTGCCGTCAACAAAGAGAGGCCAGTGGTACTCTCTAAGAAGTCTTCCAGTCTGCCTGGTGGATTAACGGAGCTTGGGTGCCCCTGCAGACAAAGCTCTGAGGAATGATGATTGCTGGATGGAGAAGGGCATTTTGGGGTAACAGTGGGATCTTTCTTTGCTGAGGGAGATTCTTTGAATTGAGCTGAAATCTCTGTTGGAAAAAAAACAAACAAGTAAATTACTTATTACATGCAGTCTAACACTAATGATATAGCCATTAACTCACCACTATCGCAGCACTTCAGGAATTACATACATCCTTACCACCTTCAGAAGATAATGGTGATTTCATATCAGTGACAGGTGAAGCTTTCTCTCACGCATCCATTAGCCATTTCCTCATTCCACTCATTCACTCACCCTTTCATCCTGTTACGCTTCTTACCATCACTTACCTCAAACGTTCAGCTTTCTACCTTTTGGGGAAAACCTAAGTTTCTGTTAAGTGCCTCTAATCATCAGGTATCTATTTCCCCCCAGTTCCCACACATGAATTAGGAATCAAACCTCAAAATGTGACCCAGTATGATCTCAACAGCTTCTGCAGACTCCATACACTGATTGCATTATGCAGTGCTTTTTTTCTAAAAAAAAAAAGGTGCTGGAACTCACACATGTCATACAACCCGCCTTGCCTACCCTACAAGGTTCCATCGGAAAAAGGTGCCGGAACTCCGTTCTGGCCGTTCTATGAGAAAAAAAGCCCTGGCATTATGTTTGCACCTTACAACTTTTCTTCCCTTTTTCTTCCATTAGCACCAGCATTATGTGGGAAGCCTAAATTTCATAAGAACTGGAGTACTTGCAGGATGCTTCATTCTTCCTCCAGTAGCCTCATGGTAACGAGGAATGGAATGCTAGGGGGGAGGGGGGCGGATGGCACAAAGGGACTCCAAGGGTATTTTATGGCTCTTCCACTGGTGCTATAAGGAAGAATGGCCCTTCCTCTGTGATTTGATAAATAAAGCTGATAGGCACAATCTTTTAAACAATTGGGCTAAATGCAGTAGAAGCCATCAGAATGATAGACCAGAAGTTCCTCTCTTCATACCTCCATGTTCAATTAAAATATCAAACAAATCATCCATTTGCTGACTTGAGCAGCCATTCTCCTAAAAAAAGAAAGGGAATAGGTTTGTTAATGTATTACATTTAATAGTAATGCAGCAATTTATACATTATAATCATCACCCTGTGGCCAAATAATATAAAACGTGATGTGTTAACCAAGAGTTTTACCCATATCTTCCTTTCTGGTATGAAGAGTACATATGAAATATGGCAGAATGTGACCTTCAGTGGTGCAAAGTGGATCGACCCAATACATGAATTCCAAAAATTTTAAGATAATTTGCAAAAAGGATAGATGCGTACCAAGTGCTTTCCTAATTTGTCACAGCAAAGCAGTTATTCTCACCTCGGAGGACTTGGGTTGCTGCTTCACAGCCTCCTCATAGCCTGGTGGTTCTTTCATCACAACTGAGGTGGCAGGGAGAAGCATTGGTGGCAAAGTGCCAAAGAAGGAAGGGCTCTGCTTCTGCTGCTCAAGGTCCATATGGGGTGGAGAAGGAGGAGCTGGAGAACTTGGCTGTGAGAGAAACTGTGAAGGAAAAACAAGTAATAGGTGGCTGTAATTCTTTGAGACCGACTACAAAGCAAATTTTCAACAAAATGTTTGATGATGTAGTCTGGCTGCTCTAGTTTATACTTTTTTCCTCTTCTGAACAGGATGGCCCATTGTTGTCACTTGTCCTCAATACTATCATTTAGATCAGTGTTTCTCAACCTTGACAATTTTAAGGCATGTGGACTTCAACTCCCAGAATTCCACAGCCAGCAATGCTGGCTGTGGAATTCTGGGAGTTGAAGTCCACATGCCTTAAAATTGTCAAGGTTGAGAAACACTGATTTAGATAATGCAATCTATGCATCCTCCAATTCCTGATGGATTTCTTTATCTCAGGAAGCTCTATATTCTCTTATATATTAAAATAATTTTCTCTTACCTAAATTTATATAATAAATTTATATAATAATAAATTTCCTATTAAAGGGCTAGATAGAATTTCCCTCTAAGAACTCTTAATAGGATTCTTATGTCCACACCATGAGGCACCATAATAGTAACATCCGTTTGTTTTGTAATATGCACAAGCCATCAGAAATATATAAGATTAAACCCGTTCCTCAAGTAGATATTCCTAATGGCACCACTGCATACACCCACCTTCAAGACAGCAGGCCTATTTTCTACACACTTAATAGGATGCCTATTCAAGAAGGTCAAATAAAGAAAAATGCAAAAACCAAAGGAATCAAAAGAATATTACCGTATTACCCATATTTGTATCTGAAAGCTAGAAACCCATAGGCCAAAGTGGGTAAACTGGAATGCCTTAAAAATATTCAGGTAGTCCTTGAATTACAACTGCATTTGGGACAGGAACTGCCATTGCTAAGCAATGCGATCTGCAATCTATCTTTGTCTTGCCGGTCTGAGATCAATAATTTGGAGGGGAGAGGAAGAAGGAGCCCCTTCAAGAATATTCCACCCCCCTATCAGTTAAATTTCTCCTTTAGGATGGATATCCACCAGGATTAATTTAGGAGTAAAATCCCAGCTAAGAGGTATAAAATGGAGGATCCCCCAATGGAAGACTATACCTGCCTAAGAGCCAAGTTTCACATCTGTCCTGGGCGAGATCAAGTCAAAATCTGGGATCTCTATGGTCCAGGACGGGCGTGGCAACTTTGGCTGACTTGATCTGATTGGGCAGGAATACAGTCATAACCCATGGGTGGATCCTCCATCTCCAGTGCTGGAGAAACCCATAGGCCAAAGGGGTAAACTGGAATGCCTTAAAAATGTTCAGGTAGTCCTTGAATTACAACTGCATTTGGGACAGGAACTGCCATTGCTAAGCAACGCAATCTGCAATCGTAAAGCATAACATCGCATGACAGCATAACAACAGTAACCCAGGCAGTCCTAGTTGTCCTAATTCCACATATGTGGGTCGTTTAGCAGGAAGTAGAGGAAGTCCCAGGAAAAAAGTGCAGAGGTGCTGCAAAGGTGTGGAGGAGGCCTTGGGTGGCCCACCATAGGCCATGTACAAGTTGGGGGAGGGGGGGTGTAGCAGTGGGTTGCAAGCCCACGAAGGCTGGGAAAAAGAGAGCCTGGAGTGAGTGTAGGGAGGCCAGGGTGTGTGCAAGCGAAAGGGGGAAGAAGGGCTTGATATGTGCAAGTGAAGAAAGGCTGGCCTGAAGGGAGACTTACCTGAGTTACTTGCAACCTTCCCTGCTGGCTTTTCCATTGACTCTGCTTGTGGGAAGCTGGCAGGAAAGGATGCAGATGGTAATCATGTGATCGCAGGGCATTACAATTGGTTGTAAATGTAAGCTGATTGCCAAGTGCCCAGATTCTGATCACATGAGCCTGGGGGCACAGCAACAGCCAGAACCTGGAGAACTAGTTGTAAGTTGTTTCATTCAGCATAGTCATAACTTCAAATGGTTGCTGAACAAATGGTCATAACTCAAGGACTACCTGCACAGATATAGGCATAACTAAAACCTGGTGAACTAGGGTAAATCAAGGAGTCACAGTTATTACTGGTTACAACTCTGTAGGAAAGTTAGGGATAGGTGGGGTGGAGGATATGTTGCCTTGCATTTAAAAAAGACCATTGAATCAAATTAACTTGGCATGCCTAATAGGGCAGATCATTTGATGGGTAAAAGCACCAGATCATAAAGGGAAGTTAATACCTCCTAACCAAAATGCTCAGAGAGATTTGAAAATTAAGAGGGATATTAAAAAAGCAGCCTGAAAAGTTAAGCCGTGTATTTATAGGAGATTTCAACTAATCTCAATTTCAATCTACACACTGACGGGAAATTTTGTGTTCAAACCACGGCAGAGAGATAACATTCTTTGATTCAATGAATAACCGTAAACTGGAGCAACTGGTTTTGGAACTAATGAGGGGGGAGTAATACTAGACCTCTTAAGCGATGCTTATTTTTTTAAGAAATAGATGTAATTGAACCAACTGGGAATAATTCAACATTCAAAGAAGCAATAACATAGAAATTCCAACACAGTCATAGTTGACTTCAAAAAGGAAACACCTCAAAACTGAGAAAATGGGTGAAAAGGAAAATTGGGCATGGCTGAAAGGGCAAACTTCCCCTAGAAATATTTAAGAATACAAAATACAAATACAAAATACAGATATTCTGTTGAATACCTTCCACTAATCCAGATGGATTTTTTACCAGGAAAATTAAGCTTTTTCCCTACAAAGGCATCACTTGGCTTAATAATGCTTAACAGAAACAACTAAATTTCATTTCAATATAAAACTACACCTGTTTCCTGAGAACCGACCTATAGTCTCTATTCGATCCTGCTCTATTCATGCACCCAGCCACACACACTCATTTGACTTTGGCTCTCCCTCCCACTCTTCACTGATTCTAGACAGGTTACAATGTAAGCAACCACTCCCCCCCCCAAAAAAAAAACCAAGTTAAAAATGCAATAGAAACAATAAGCAAGATGGAGCATCTGACCATCCTTCATGGAAAACATATCCAGCAAGGAAGTTCGTTCAACCTAACCTAAGACAGGAAAATAGCAAGATCTTTAGCCTTCCTGAATGCCATTAGGGTGGAGGCCACCTGGAGTTGAGGAACCACCCTTTCCAGAGAACAGACATTGTGACATAGAAGATATGCTTCCTAGATTCCAACAGATAATATTATTTAATCAAGGGGACCAAGAGTGTGCCCACTGTTGGCCCTTGCCGGCTGAACAAAAATCATGGGCAATAAGACAGTTCTTCAAATAAGTAGCTTCATGCCATATAGGGCTTTATAGGTGATAACCAACACCTTGAAGCATACTGGCAACTAGTGCAGTTTGCAAAGCAGGGGTGTTGTCTGGACATACTGATACAAGCCCATTACTGCCCATGCTGCTGCGTTCTAGCCTGGTGAAGCCTTTGAATGGCCTTCAGGGGAAGCCACAAGTGGAATGTATCACAGTAAGAGGTGGTTAGGCATGAGTGACTGTCTGAAGGGCTCCTTGATCCGGAAAGGGGCACGACAGGCATCACCAGATAGAACTGCGCAAAGACCTTCTTGGTCACCTGACACGTGCTCTTCAAGCAGGAAATGTGAATTCAAAAAGATCCTCATACACATTGCTTTTGAATGGGGAAGTGCAACTCCACCAAGAGCAAAGATAGAAGATCCTAAGATGTAAATGTCTATGGAGATTCTCAGTCATCAAGGTCATGGTTGTCCCAAAGGTGCTTTTTCAAAAGGCAACGGGACTTTCTTTTTCCGTAAAGATGTTTTGCTTCTCATCCAAGAAGCTTCTTCAGTTCTGAACTGAAGAAGCTTCTTGGATGAGAAGCAAAACGTCTTCAAGGAAAAACAAAGTCCCGTTGCCTTTTAAAAAAGCACCTTTTGGACATCCTAAGATGTAGGTGGTCCCAGCAGCTACTGCCACTCAGTATTGGTAGGAATGAATCGGAAAGAGTTCCTCCCATCCAGCCTACAGGCATCAGGACTAGACCTAGTTGCCTCACTTGGAGAGCCTGGGATCAAAAGGTGTAATTAAGTATCAATAGTGCACTTGATGATACAGGACCCCAAACTGGTTAGATGTTAGGTGACCAACATCCAGTGTTTTTATGTAGATATTGAACAAGAGGCTCATCTTATGATATTGGGACCTGCTGAGAATACCTTTTTTGTCTCACTGGACTGGCCAGTTTTATCAGGAACTCTGGCATTCGGCGGTCCTTTGTGGAAGCCGTTCAGGAAGAACGGCTGCAAGTTGGGAGATGCAGAAAAAGATAAGATTGTTTGTGGCAGCTGTCCAGTGACCATTTGCAGACCTGACTTCTGACGCTATATAAGAGATAAGAAAAAGAATTAAAGATCAGATTCTGATTGGTCCATTGATTTTTAAAAAGGAAGAATACCCTTTAGTGTGCAAATCAAGCCTACGGTTAAGAGTACAGGTGGTTAGCTACCTTTTGGGTGGACTCCTTTGGTGGAGGTTCAGGAGATGATGGAGAGTTCTTTATAAGTGGCTTGCTGGGTGCTATTGTAGATGGAGATGATATTCTCTGGAAAAAAAAAGTACAGGTTTTAATGCTTCAGAGTTAGGCTGAAAGCCAAATTTCATAGTCACCTGTTACAGATGCCTGGGCAAAAGTTAAAGTAGTAGTGCAGGAGAGGATTTACTGAACAGGGGGAACAAAAATTGGGCTTGCAAAACTAATGAGTTATCTAGAAAACGTACAGAAAATGAGCAAATCTAGTTTAACACAAGTGGACAATTTATGGTTGCTATCACAACAGTATGGTTTCATTCTGATAAACTGCTTTCAGCAAGAAACATATGAAGTTTTGTTCAAAATGTTTTATGTGTTAAACCAAATTATTAAACCAATCCCTGTTGTTCCAACATTATGTTTACATTAGTTTCTTCAACTAATTTTGTGTGCCTCTGTGTGTATGTGCATCCATGTGTGTGTGTGTGAGAGAGAGAGGGAGGGAAGGAGGGAGAGAATGCAGAAGAGTTTGTGCATTTACTTACTTTCAATGGCAACGAACTGCTTCCCACTTTCTCCTGAGGTGAGAGGTTCTGCCTTTCAGCATTCTGATTGGTCACAGTGAGGACTATGTGAGTCCCTGTGGAATCTGTGATGAGGGTAGGGGGGGAAGCTCCCTTGATGAAATCACTGAAACCTCCAGCTTGTTGTCCAAGGAAAAAACATGAGGTCTGACATGGTGGCTCAGTTTCAGCAGCTAGCACCTCCTGCTTCACCATCACTGCTTTCTTTGGCACTAAATTTGTATCTGATGTCTCCATTTGGCTGGTGGTCTGTGTGGGTCTTAGTTGGTCAATTTGGCAGTTCAGCTGCTCCACAGATTGGCAACTCACAAAGCCTTTTTCATTCTTGACAGAGGTGCCAAAAATAGAGGGCTCACAGACTGTAGCTCTGTCTTCTTCTCCAACAACTGTAGTTGACAGCGGTTGTTGAGATCTCTTTTCTTTCTCCAGCTGCAGCTTTAGCATCTCCACCAACTGCTGTTTCTGTTTCAGCATCCGGGTGAGTTCCTCAATCTGCTTATCTTTCTCCTGCAGCATCTGGTCTTTATCCTGGACCTCCATGTCTTTGTTGTTGTTCATGCTAGACTCTACCCTTGACATTGCATTTGTGCTACAAGTGTTACCTTTGGAACTCTCTTCTTTTACCAAAAATTGGACTGGTGATGCTTGTAGAGTAAGCTGAGTCAGGGGAGAAGTCACCATCTCCCCAAAGGTATCACCACTGATTGAATTCTCATCTCCAGCACTTATCAGAGAACGTTCAGAGGGAGTGGGTGACACAGGAGGAGTTGAGCCTGTGCTCCCAAACTTCATGACCCCATTGCCCGTGACAGTGGCTACAACAACCTCTGCTGAAGTAAGGCCTGTATTGACAAGTGCAGGACCTGTACTCAGCCGAGCAGCTGGGAAAGTTACCACCACTTCAGTAGTCTTCGGGAGAATTGCTGTGTTAGCCTTCGGAGCAGCAATTACTCGGCTGGTTATACCATTCTGCTCTTGATAAGCCTTGAGCCGCTCAATTAAATCTGTCTTGGTACCCGAAACAGGCAATGCCCTTAACTTCAACTCTTGCTTTAGCTCTGCCACCTATCAAAGAGTCAGAATTCTATCAGAAGTTGTTTTAGCTAAGATACCCTTACTTACTAGGGCTACATCAAATCACAGTTGGAAGTAAACCTGGTGGATACATCCTTTCAATTCTAATATATTTTTTAAAGAAAGGATGCCACATATTATAAGGCATAAAACAATGAGCACAAAAGTTCCATTTTCAAAGGACAATTCCATCACCACCAAGAAAAAATGTATGGTTAGCATCAAACTCATCAGTTTCAGTGATAGTATCACCATCCACTAACAATGCAATAAATAACTTATACCACATTTTTATTAACAAATGTTAAAGGGTAAGGCAACTTACTGTTTAAATGGAATAAAGTAAAGAACCTGTATTATAATTCATAATATTGAATGAACAACCGGACCAATAATTACAATACATTCTATATTTAGGTAAAAGAAAGCTGATGTAAAAACGCAGGAATTGTATTATCTTAAATTTGATCCAAAATTACCAGAACTAGTAGTCATGCTATGCAACTAATTACAGCCTAAATGATGCTTCTGTTATTGCAGTAGTTATGACAACCCATCCAACAATAATACAAATACAAGATGATTCCTAGATGTATAAACTGGAGTGCCTCAAGCTTAAGGAGAACATTAGGCATTATATACTTACAATATTTATCTATTTTCTAATATTTTATCCTTGTTTTATAGCTGCTATATTAGCCACCGCACCAGAAGATGGAATCTGAAATACATTCCCTTACATTTTAAATATCTGCTGTGCTGCATATTCACAATTATGTTTCTTTTACTTTCATTACATGTCTAATATTTCTTCTCAAAGCAGCTAACAAATGCTTGGTTACCTTCATGTCATCAAGGTTAGTAGGGAGAGCCCCAGGTTTGCCTACTGGAGAATTGCTATTTTGTCGCAAGAGCCCATTAGAACTAGAAGAAAGAGAAGAGGCGTTGCTGGCAGCCGTGGAAAGATTACGCAAGGCTGGGGTGCTGTTGCCATTCTGTTCTCCTAAAGGCCTGAAGGGGAAAGAAAGGGTGAACTGAATAGGCAGCTGCAAGAAACTAGCCACAGAACCTTCGTCTTCAGGATTTGCTTCTGCACTTCCCAGAGGAAGCTGAATATCCACTGCTGAGAAAACTCCTTGATCTAGTCTGACAGTGCTTATAAAATGTATTGGCACAATGCAAATCATCGCTGCCGGTTTAGCATTTGCTTTCAGCTGTACTTTGGGATAAATCATGAAAACTTTAGATATTTTCTTCAGTACTTATGTTTTGAAGGCAGTAAAAACAGAGAAATATGCTGTAAAACAAAAAGATCATTCTAAGGACTTCATATTCCATCGTGCTTTTCAGCAGGGCTAAATGAGGACAAGCAGCCATCTGGGAAATTCCTATTAACCATTATCTTTTTAGTTTCATTCTGTATTATTTATTGATTAAATTTTGATCCCACCATTATTAAGTTAGTCAAGGAGGCAAACATGCATAATACTCTTTCCTCTCCTATTGTCCCCACAACAAGAACCCTGTGAGGTGGACTAGGTGTGACTGGCCCAAAGTCACCCAGCCAACTGTCATGCCTAAGGCAGGACTAGAACTCAGATTCCTGAGTTTCTAGCCTGAGACCTGCCCAGAGTCGGCAGATGAGGCTGGGTTATGAAAAACATGTTTGCTGAGTTTACCCAGAAACAAGTAAACAAATGAATATACATGCATTACTGATTGGGGGACTTTCAAAACCTCTCTCAAAATTATGTTGCCAAAACTTTTCTTCACACTTATAAACTCCTTTCACTAAAATCTTAGACATCTTTACTATTACAAGTACATTTGCCATTTTCACTTACTTCTAATATTTGCAAGCTATACTCCCAATCAAGTGAACGTTAGAAAGTGAAGAAATATGGCTATGATTGAGTTGATGATAGGTTGACTTTACAAATCTCATACTTTGATGGGAATGGACAGATAGAGAAATAGGCTTCAGCTTAGTTGATACTAAGCTCTTGAGAAATAAAAATT